AAATAAATAAGAAATTAAAAACATTGAGAAGGTTACCCGACATCTTGGCTATGCAAACTCGCTCTATAGGCTTGATTCCTATTTCCCGCCATCATTGAATGACTTAACCCTCTAGGATCAAAAGGACTTTCAAGGTATTAACATATAAACTAGGAGAGTAAAGGTGTGGAGAACTCTTGAAATTGGTGGTAAACCTATGTGAAGCACGGGTGGAACTTCTTCCACAAGATCCAAACGATTCCAAAACAAAAGTGCCAAGTATGCTTATTAAATAACTTTCCCCCAAGCTTATTTAATACAAAATAACAAAAACAGGGAGAACAACAATAACAAAACCCTTTTTTTTTGTGCTTTACATTCTTCTTTACTTTTTTTTTTTCAATATTTCCTTTTTCCAAGCTTTTGTTTTTTTTTTTAAATGTCCTTGCCTCTTTTAACTTTGGACGGCTTTTTCTCAAAATGCATTTGGTTTTATGCACAAAATTATATACAACACATACTTGCTTTGCAAATGAACTCATAATTCTAAACTTCCACCATAAACAATAAAACAAGGTCGAAAACAAAATTGCTTCACAAAACTAAAGGTAGAAATTAAAGTGAAACCAACGCTTGAAGGCTTGTATGTGGCTAGAGAAAAGAATGTATATGGGTCAAAGGGACTAGCAAGAGGGGCAAATGCAAACCAAATCCAAAAATTGAAAATTAATCCTATAAAAAGATAAATGTCTTTGTCATCCCCTAAAGTGGCTCGGTTGTGATCTTGGGAGCTAAAAGTCAAGTTCTAGATATGAGAATGCAATAGCCAAGGATCCAAAAATGCCGCTCAACAAAATATGATGAAGGCTTGAACAATTATACCTCACTAGGGATAGCAATAACTAACTCTTAATTTCATATCCACTATAGAGAGAAACTCCATCTTACCACAAGCAAGTGAACTAGAGATTCATGGTCCCAAATTTCTTAGCCAACTACCTTAGCATACCATATCCTAGAGTCAACCTAACACATTCTCAAACTGTGCACACCTCTAAAATTTAGGAAGAAAGACATTCAAGAATACAAGTCCATAAGTATTATGTCCAAAGCAAGAACAAAAGAAAACACATTGCAAATTTGCCTTGATAGAAACAAAAATATTTTTGTGATTTTCAAGATAAAGAACATGAAAATACATATACAAATGTGCATGGCATATATGAATCAACATCCCACCAAACATGATGGAATACACTCCCCGAAGCTTGAATGAAACACTACACTCAATCATAAATCAAATAATCCATGGAAGGGGAAAACAAGGAGATCAATCCAACAACCCAACATATGTCCTGTTTCAAAGCCCCTTTAGGTATCAACTAATGGAGAAAGAGCAAGGAAAGATATTACCGGATTTTAGGTGGGTGTATATACCCGCAAATGACCCAATTGAACTTTTCAAAGCCACTTTTCTCAAGAATTGAATCTTGTTTTCCATATGCTAGCAATTGTGGTGCCAAACTTCCTTGATCCTTGATCCAAACCAATGCACCAAAGTATACCAAGTTATGTACCTAGAAAAAGGCACACAAACATTTCCATGAGAGAAAATCTATTCTAAAAAGAAAAAAAAATGAAAGCAATAAAACACGGGTTACTTCCCGAGAAAGGCTTGCTTAAGGTCCAAGCTTGACCGCTCTAGTAAATAATATTGCAACGATCGCAAGAGCTTGTCAAATGCACTACTACACATCTCATAAGATAACAAGTAGGTAAATGATATAAAAAGGGCATGCACCAAGATTAGGGCACGCAAAAGAAAGTGAAGAGGGAGTTGCCAAGAAGAAGAATAATCAAAAGAAAATTCAAGAAAATAAGAAGAAGAATAGAAAGGCAAACTCTCTTCACAAAAATCTTTTTGGGTGGCAAAATCACCCTTTTCCTCAATAGAAGACGAATGAGGGACATGAAAATCATCATAGGCAAGGGGTTCCCCAATAGGCTCATTAACAAAGGAAGGAAGGGATATAGGAGTGTAGGGGATATGGTTGAAATTCCTAGAAAAAGGGACATGAGAGAAGGGGATAGGAGCAATGGTCTCACAAATGGTCTCTTCTTCACCACCATCCCTCAAATCACCAATTTGAGCATGAAAATCAATCATAGAATCCTCAAAAGAAGAACACTCATGATCATGATCTCCCTCAAACATCCAATTTCCAAGAGGAACTAAATAATCCCCTTCACTACAATCATGAACAACAACTCCCTCAACTTCCTTAAAGCCTAAAATCTCAAAGCCATGCATGAATGGATGCAAATTCATTTCAAAATCATCTCTCTCCCATGAAGCATTCTTAATGAACTCACTCAAAAGGCTATGGGTTTTCATTTGACACTCAATAAACACATTAGACATAACCTCAAATGAATCCAAATACTCATGGATAAAAGGATCACAATCATGCACTTGAGACTCATCAAGATGGGAAAGAGGGTTAGGATTTTCAAAATCAACACTCTCTTCATTCTCAACTCCTTCACCATCACTCATATGCTCACCAATGGGATCCTCACACTCTCTTGGTTGCTCAAAATCATCATCATCATCCTCAACACACACATTAAATTGGGATTTTTCACAAACAAGCATCAAGGGTGACAATTGGCTTTCTAACTCTTCTTTTCTTCTCCTTCCCTCCTCAAGACGCTCCTCATTCTTTTTCATTATCTCTAATTGACCTCTCATAGAATTAAGAATCATTTCCTTACTAGGCTCAAGCTCATTATCAATCTCAATGCACCTAATTTGAGATTCAAAAGTAGCAATACGGGATTCAAAAGGTGTTGAAGGTTGAGGCTCAACAAGAGAAGAAGAAGTACAACCAAGATTGGAAAAATCAACATTAAGATCATGAGCATATACATCACATTGGGGAGTGGGGGAACAATCAAACACATGAGATTCATCATTAAGGGAACGAAGCACATCACAAGAAGGCATGGTAAATAATGAAGAATATTGAAACACACCATTAGCATCAACTTGAGCATGTACCTCATCATCATGAACAAAAGAGGAAATAGAGTTGAAATCATGTGTTTTAGGTTCACTTAATGGATCATGTAACAAATCATGGGAATTCATGCTAATATTAGAAGTATCAACACATTTCATATCAATAATAGAATCATGATTACCCTTATTATAGACATCCCAAGCAAACCAAACATAAAAATCCCAAGCATCATCAATTGATAATGCTCTAAATTCACCATTATGCATGCATTCAACTTCATCCCTAGTTTGCTCATTCAAACCAAAATAACAAATCTCACAAGCCTCCCAAAGACTACAACAATCAAAATCCAAATATCCCACAAGTCTATTGAAATATTCACAAAAAGGCTCATTGTCATATTGAGGAAACGAGTTACTTGCCATTTTTTTTTACAAAAACAAGCAAAAATTAAAAAAATAAAATAAAAAGAAAAGTATACACAAAGACCTAGACTCAAGCAATCAAAAACAATCAAGCATTGACACCGTTCCCCGGCAACGGCGCCATTTTGACGGGCGTTAGAACGGTCGCACATTCCACACTCAATCAAATAAATTTATAAATCCTAAAACTAACCCCTAAACAAGTCTAGTGGTAAGTTCGGAGTCGAACCACAAGGAACGGTAATGTTGGATTGTTCTCGATCTAATGCTTAAGCTACGCCGAAGTCGGTTTATGGATAGTGGACACTACAACTACACTAACACACATATAAAGATCAAGATATTACAAAGTCTACTAGGGGCAAAGATCCACTTTGAACAATTAACAAGTTAATGGGAATCGATTTGATAATCAATCATGCAAAGAAAGAATTAAAATGGGAATTAATTACCATCAAGAGCAATCTCTCAAATTCCTAGCCTAGATCCCTCATTGACTAGGTGCATAGAAGAAATTTACCCAAAATGCAATCAAATATATAAATTCTAATTCACAATCCCTTGTCAAACTAGAACTAACATGCAATTAAGTTTGCTATCTTGGGAGATCAATCCAATCTAAAACAAACAACATGCCATCATCAATTCAATCAATTTAATCACACAATTATCATCAATTTATCTCAAATAACTCAATTAACCATAACAAAGCTTCACTCAACACCTAGTAGAAGGAAATCTACTCAAACATGATTAACAAAGCAATTAATAAAGCATAAAGAGAGAAGAGAGTAAGAAATGCTCATTGATATAAAATGGAGATCTTCAAATCATCAAATTCCTCCTTTGATTATCCAAAATCCATGAAAACCATTGTTTCTCTCACTTTCTCTCTCCAAAATTTGAGAGTTTCTCTCTCTAAAAACCTAAAACTACTGAAAATATGATTTTTTTTTAAAATGAGCAAAAAATCTATTTATACCCCTTACTAAATTGCCTAGGAAGCTCCGCAAAAAGTCGAGCAGCGTGCAGAGGAGCGGGCGCTCCAATTTCATGCACGGGCGCTCCTAGCTGCAGCAAAATATGGCAGAATCGTTCCAGAAAGTTTAGAGCGGGCGCTCCACATAGGATGCGCGCCCGCTCCTATCGGACTGGGCAAACCGCTCAGCTTCAAATGAGCATATCTCCCACGTTTTACGACGGAATTGGGCATATGACCTGTCTTTGGAAAGCTCTCAAGATAAGCTTTCATCTACAATTGGAATTGCCCCAAAATGTTTTGTAGATCAAAAGATATAGGCGTTTGAAGTTCGATCATTGAAAATCAAGTGCACATTTCTTCATTACTTGTTCTTTTATGTTTTATATTTCTTCAATCTTGAGCAATGAACTTATCCAAGTGTTCCTAAACATAAGAATAAACCAATAAAGTTTAATCTAATGCCATAAGCAACTAAAATATGCAAGAAAAGCCAAAATTGAGCAATAACGACATTTCACACTCAATCATGACAAATGTAATAAAATGTTATTAAAATCAAGTAAAAAGATATAAAAACTATGAAAAAATAACTAGAAAACTCTTAAAAATAGCGACATAAATGACACTTATCATTATACTACTTCTGTTAATGATTATCTACAACTTTGAAATTTTTTTATATCTCGCAAATAAACCCTAAAGTTGCAGATAATCATTAACAAAGGTAGTATTATCGGAATCCATAAAATGTGTCTTATCCTCTGTTTTTTCTTCTCCAAGAAGATTAATATCGAACACATGATCGATTAACCTATTAACAAATGCAATATTGGGGAAAAGAACTTATTCTCAACTTTCATCCCATGTGAAAGAAAGTAATTACAGCTGAAAAGTAAGCAAGATAGCAACCAACCAAAATTCCCATGCCATCCCATCTAATATAGGCCCCATTGTCCCACGAAAATCCTGCAAGCTGATCTTACCATCACCATCGATATCAAGCTTGCGAATCACACGGTCAATCGCTTCATCTGATGGGTATCGGCCAAAGATGGCGGCAAAACTACGCAGATCCATAGAGGAGAGGAATCCATCTTCGTCTTTGTCCATTAGAGGGAAGAACATTGATGTGTTTTGCTGCCCTTGAGTATCAAACATTTCGATTCGTTGCTTTCCAAACATGTTTCGACGGCACAATAAATTGTAAAAGTCCCAACAAGAAATAGAGCCATTACGATCATCTTTGATCATATTCATAAGGTCTTGTACTTCTTCTGAATTATTTACTTTCCACAATCTTGTAAACTTCTCCACATCTTTGGTGGTAAGTTCACGCTTCGTCGAACCCTCCAAAACTCCAAATATGCTATATATTCCCAGGATCATGAATTGGGGATCATTTCCTGTGATAATAGCTTCGCTAATTAGTCATTCAAGCCTAATGAGTCTTGGCCTAACTAGTAACTAAGACCAAAGAAAAAGCTAATCATTTGTTAATGTTAAATTTTGTGAAGAAAAATTATCTTCAAGGTAACATAAAGTTTATGCAAAGTTACTTGATACAAACTTGATCCAAACAACTCGTTATATATATTCTCATTCACAAACTATAATTGCTCAAAATGAGGTAATTTATTTTTGCCTAGTGTATCTAGGCAACTTCACTAGTCATATCTTTGTTTCACATACAAGTATAACATATTCAATGTGTAATGAAATTTGAAGCGAAATGTCACGCGCTGACTATTTCCCTTAGTCTTTTGCACGCGGCCTACTAGAGTCACCACCCGTTAGACTACTAGTCAAGGCTCCCAATTACTTAGCAAAGCTAAATATTGATGTTGTTAGTTAAGTGTGGGTTGCTTGGAAAGCACAAGTGAGAATATATGAGAAAGCTTTAAGGAAGAAGGTTGTTTATAAATGCTTGAGAGAATACAAGTGTTTGTGCCTACTAAGAATGGGTGGGAGGTTTCCTATTTATAGGCACCATCCCTTTCTAGAGTGTTCTAATCTAGATGCTTCCTAACCTCCTCAAATGGAAGGTCCTAGAGAACTCTATACACTTTCTGATTACATAGGCTTATGTACAATGTTCTAGAACCATCTACAAAGTTCTAGCATCTTAAGTATGTACAAGTTGTCCCTAGAGGCTTCTAGAGACCTCCGGATGCTCCACGAACCTCTTCGTGCATTCTGGAAAGTTCTAGGCCTCTTCTTCGAATTCTGGCTGCACCATCATCTTTATTGGGCCCAAAAACGGTGGGCCATCAAGTTTGGGCTCATTTGGAGTCCATTAAGCCCGGCCCATGGCCCATTATTGTGTTACTGTCATGGGCGTGTTCACTAGAGTAAATGGCAGGGTGCTAAATAAAGCTCTATAGGGGGAAAGGTGTTCTGGCCATGCTAGCCATGCACCAAGGGCATTCCCCCTGGCCACGATTATAACTTGCTGCCTAGTGGCCCTAGTGAGGGGTGGGAATATGTGAGTCGTGACATGCTCCCCCACCCAAGTCTTGACGTCCCCGTCAAGGCCGCCCTTCGAACTTAGCTATCTTGTCTTGGAATTGCCATAGGTCTCCTTCTTTTTCCCACGTTGCCTCACTATCCGGGAGACCCTTCCAACGAACAAGATACTCGTTGTAGCTTGGAACCCCTCTCTTCCTTATGAGCCTCTTGGCCTCAATTGTCTCGATGTCCCTCTCGAAGGATGCCACCACAGCCGTGGGCGCCCTTTGTGACTCGCCCCTTGTTGGATCTTCATGGTCAGCTTGATAGGGCTTGAGCATGCTCACGTGGAACACCGGATGAATCTTCAACCTTGGGGGTAACTCAAGCTTATATGATGTTTTCCCAACCTTCCTTAGTACGGGGAATGGTCCCTCATACTTTCGCACAAGACCCTTGTGCACTTGTCGGAAGACCTTGAATTGTTGGGGTAGCAGCTTCACCATCACCAAATCTCCTACTTGGAACTCCATTGGGCGCCTATGCTTGTCAGCCCACTTCTTCATCTTTTTGGCCGCCTTGTCCAAGTAAGCCTTGGATAAATCGAGTTGTTCGTGCCACCCTCGTGCAAGCTTGTAAGCAGCTGGGCTGCTCCCTGTATACCCCGAGGCGATCCCTTGTGGAGTCAAGGGTTGCTGTCCCATGACTATTTCGAAGGCACTTTTGCCCGTAGCCTCGGATCTTTGCAGGTTGAAGGAGAATTGGGCAACATCCATGTACTTAGCCCAATCTCGCTGGTTGGCACTCACATAGTGCCTGAGATATAGCTCCAGCAAGGCATTCACCCTTTCGGTTTGCCCATCCGTCTGGGGGTGAAAGCTTGTTGAGAAGTGGAGTCCGGACCCAAGCAACTTGAACAATTCTATCCAAAATTTTGCTGTGAACCTTGGGTCTCGATCACTGATGATGTTCCGAGGCAAGCCCCAATATTTTACCACGTTCTTGAAGAATAGATGGGCTGCTTGCTCGGCTGTGCAATCCCTTGGTGCCGGTATGAACGTGCCATATTTGGAAAAGCGATCGACAACCACCATGATCGAGCCATACCCATCTGACTTGGGTAGGGCTGAAATGAAATCCATTGATACGCTCTCCCATGGCCCTTCAGGTATAGGAAGTGGCTCAAGTAACCCAGCCGGCACGCGTTGTTCGACCTTGTCTTGTTGGCACACAAGACAAGTCTTTACATAGGCCTCCACATCTTGCTCCATGTATGGCCAATAGTAATTCACCTTCAAGAGTGCTAACGTGCGTAAGACGCCAGGATGACCAGCCCACTTAGAGTCATGGCACTCTTTCATGATATCTCGCCTAAGATTATCCCACTTAGGCACGAATAGTCGCCGCCCAGCAGTATAGAGGATCCCATCCTCTATCCAAAACCTTCGGGTTTTGCGTTCCTTGACTAGGTTCAGGAGCCCCTTAGCCATAGGATCTTGAGTAAGACCATCCTTGATTCTGTCCAAGATGGTGCTTGTGGCGCGACTAATAGCTGCAAAGGTGGCCTTGCGGCTTAGAGCATCGGCGACAAAGTTTACTTTGCCTGGCTTATACACCATGACATAGTCAAATTCGGCCAGGAAGTCTTGCCAACGAGCTTGCTTGGGGCTTAATTTCTTCTGATTTTGGAAGTAGCTTGTCGCAACGTTGTCGGTGTAGATGGTGAACCGACTCCCGAGCAGGTAGTGCCTCCATATCCGCAAGCAATGAATTATGGCCGTCATCTCCTTGTCATGGACAGGATATCTCCTCTCCGTATCGTTTAGCTTGCGAGATTCGTAGGCAATGGGATGCCCCTCTTGCATAAGGACCCCACCTATGGCATAATCGGAGGCATCCGTATGCAGCTCGAATGGCTTTGAGTAATCAGGCAAGGCTAGGACGGGTTCTTCCGTGACTGCCTTCTTCAACCCATCGAATGCCCTTTGACACTTCTCGTCCCAACACCACTGTGCCCTCTTCTTGAGCAAATCGGTCAAAGGTGCTGCCTTGGCCGAGTAGCTTCGAATGAACCGCCGATAGTAGTTGGCAAGGCCAAGGAAGGACCGTAGCTCGGACACATTCCTTGGCTCACCCCATTCTTGAATGGAGCGCACCTTGTCATGCTCCATCATAATCTTGCCAGCCTTGATATGGTGTCCTAAAAAAGACACCTCATCTTGGGCAAACGAGCATTTCTCCTTTTTGACATATAGCTCGTTCTCCCGTAGAACCTTGAACACTTGCGCCAGATGCTGCTCATGTTCCTGCAAAGTGTTACTGTACACCACAATGTCGTCTAAATAGACGACCACAAACTTATCCAAGAAAGGCTGGAAGATCTTATTCATCAAAGTGCAAAAGGTTGCCGGGGCGTTGGTAAGGCCGAAGGGCATTACCAAGAACTCAAAGGACCCATAGCGAGTTACGCATGCCGTTTTTTGCTCATCCCCTTCGGCGATGCGTACTTGCCAGTACCCCGACCTCAGATCAAGTTTAGAAAAGTACCTGGCGTTCCCCAATCGATCGAACAAATCTGCCACAAGGGGAATAGGGTATTTGTTCTTCACGGTGATCTTGTTCAACGCCCGGTAGTCTATACACATGCGCAGGCTTCCATCATGTTTGCGCTGGAACAAAACAGGTGCCCCGTATGGTGCCTTAGATGGTTGGATAAAACCAGCATCGAGCAATTCCTTCAACTGCTTCCGTAGCTCCTCAAGCTCCGGTGGGGCCATCCTGTAAGGTGCCATGGCTGGAGGCCTTGCCCCAGGCTCCAGCTTGATCTCATGATCTACTTCCCTTCTAGGGGGAAGCTTCTTGGGTAGCTCGGGCGGCATGACATCTTCAAACTCCTTGAGAACCCTGACAATCTCCACGGGGATCTCTTGTTGCACCTCAGGTTTCTCCTCAACCATTGTTGCCAAAAAGGTTGTCTGCTTCCTCTTGATGCCCCTGTCGAGTTGTATTGCGGACAACATCTTGGCTTCGGCTCCCTCTCGAGCAACGGGGACTGACCATGTTCCTTGTCCTCTCTTGATGGTCAGCGAGCCATCTTCTTCGAATGTGAAAGGCCTTACTGAGTCCATAAACTCCAATCCTAGCACCAAGTTGAAATCATCCATGTCGACGACTGTGAAATCTACTGCCCCCTCCCATTCACTCAACTGAAGTGGGACCCACGAGCCACACCGTGGATGGGTGCTGGAATAGTGTTCACCGTTTTCAAAGAACCCTTCTTCTTGGTGAACTTAAGGCCCAACCTTGTGGCTTCTTTGAGCGTCACAAAGTTGTGGGTAGCACCAGTGTCGACTAATGCTTTTGAGGCCTTTCCCCCAACTATGGCTTCAACAAACATAAGATATGGCTTTTTGTCCCGGGGTAGCGTACATACCTTGGCCAGGTCCTTGTCCTCCTTGGGCTCCTCCACCGTGGCCTTCACACTGTTGCACAGGCGCAACGTCCCCATGTGTGCCTCGTCCCCTGACGATTCCCCAGGTGATGTAGCCATGATAGCATTGAGCTTCTTCTTTTGTGGGCACTCCCTAGCCCAGTGATCACCCCCGCATAGGAAGCAATCTAAGCGCTTTGACTTTCGGTCTGAGTGGAACTTCTCCTTGTCCTTCTTCTCAGACGATTTGCTACCGTTGTGGCTTCGTTCGGTGGGCTTGGCTCCCCCACCTTTCCCCTTGTTGCCGCTGCTCTTGTTGCCTCTCTCCTTCCTTGGTTCTTGCTTGAACTCGTACAAGGACTCGGCAGCAGCGATGGCATCAGCGAGAGTTTGGACGTTTCGGCGCTTCAACTCTTGCTCAGCCCATCGTTGTAGACCATCCATAAAATAGAGAAGTTGAGTCTTCTCCGGCATCTCGGTCACCTCTAGCATGAGTGAAGTGAACTGTTTGATGTACTCCTTGACTGACCCCGTATGCGTCAACCCACGCAGCTTCTTTATGGCTACCTCTTCCGAGTTTTCTGGATAGAATTGCTTCTTGAGGTCGCTCTTGAACTCGTCCCAGGTGTTGAGTTGGACAACACCCTTCTTGATGTCGGTCTCGCGCCTTCTCCACCAAAGGATGGCATCGTCCCCCAAGTACATGGTAGCGGTGTTGATTTTTGATGCATCGTCGTCCAAATGCATCGCGCCAAAGTACTTCTCGATGCTCCACAGGAAGTTCTCAAGCTCCTTAGCATCGCGCCTTCCGTTGTACTTTGGCGGTTCGGGGACCTTCAACCTAGGTCCATCCCGAACAGCGGCACTCCCGGCCATTGCCGACTTGCACAACACCACGTCGGCGTGTAAGGACTCGATCTTCTCTTCCATCGAGCCGATCCTCTTTTCCACTGAATCAATGGTGGACATGAGGAGATCCTTCAGTTGGGCCATCTCTGCCCTAATATCTCCAGCAACTTGACTGACCAAGGATTGAGTTTCTACCTTCGCCTCTTCAGTTCCCGACTCAAGACCCTTGACCCTAGCCTCAACATCATCGTACTGTTCGTTGAGGTCATTAATGCTATCTCGTTGTTCCGAGATGGCCTGGACCATACTAACCATCTTTTCCTCAAGTAAGGTGGTACGGCTAGCTTTCTTACTGGTGTTTCCCTCTTCCACAACGGATGCATGGGCATCGTCCTTTTGTGCCATACTCCTGACTTCCGCACTTATCTTCTAACAACAACTAGCACACAAACGCAACAGACCGCCCCTACGATCGACGTTGCTCTGATACCACGTGTCACGCGCTGACTATTTCCCTTAGTCTTTTGCACGCGGCCTACTAGAGTCACCACCCGTTAGACTACTAGTCAAGGCTCCCAATTACTTAGCAAAGCTAAATATTGATGTTGTTAGTTAAGTGTGGGTTGCTTGGAAAGCACAAGTGAGAATATATGAGAAAGCTTTAAGGAAGAAGGTTGTTTATAAATGCTTGAGAGAATACAAGTGTTTGTGCCTACTAAGAATGGGTGGGAGGTTTCCTATTTATAGGCACCATCCCTTTCTAGAGTGTTCTAATCTAGATGCTTCCTAACCTCCTCAAATGGAAGGTCCTAGAGAACTCTATACACTTTCTGATTACATAGGCTTATGTACAATGTTCTAGAACCATCTACAAAGTTCTAGCATCTTAAGTATGTACAAGTTGTCCCTAGAGGCTTCTAGAGACCTCCGGATGCTCCACGAACCTCTTCGTGCATTCTGGAAAGTTCTAGGCCTCTTCTTCGAATTCTGGCTGCACCATCATCTTTATTGGGCCCAAAAACGGTGGGCCATCAAGTTTGGGCTCATTTGGAGTCCATTAAGCCCGGCCCATGGCCCATTATTGTGTTACTGTCATGGGCGTGTTCACTAGAGTAAATGGCAGGGTGCTAAATAAAGCTCTATAGGGGGAAAGGTGTTCTGGCCATGCTAGCCATGCACCAAGGGCATTCCCCCTGGCCACGATTATAACTTGCTGCCTAGTGGCCCTAGTGAGGGGTGGGAATATGTGAGTCGTGACAGAAAGTAGTAGTATTTCTCACCTATATATCTTCCTTTCAAGACGTCGAAAATGTAGGCAGCAAAATGGAGTGGTGAGAGCAAGTTTTCGCGAAAGCACTTGCTAGCTTGCCTAAGATTACCAAGTGGCTCCTTTGGCAGAGTGAAGTTGATGGTTGAGGCGACTAGAATTTGCTTGGTTTGAGAGTTAACGTTGAATATCCCACTTTTACGGGGGTCAATTTTGCTCAAGATGTCTTTAGCACAGGCCTTATCAATTCCATAGGCGTACATTATAGCCTCAACATTAGCAATAGCTAGACTCTGCTCGTTGTGGGTTTCGAAGATGTAGTTGATGTTGCCAGTATAATATACTGGAATTCTCTCTGCAGAAGATGAGAACACAATAGGAATGAGCTGAGAGTTGAGTGGCAAATCAAACATGGATAACTTTTCTTTACTATGCTATGAATGTCTAAGCTTATTAAGAGGTAGGATTTCCCCACAATGTTTTATAAGTCTAAGCTATATATCTCTAAAATTTAATTGTTATAGTTCATCTAAACGATCAGTTTATCAAACCTTCAAAGATATTATTTAGTTCACGAGATCTAGGTATGAGGTAAGGAGTTAAGAATGGTTTAAACCCATCATATTTTGGGCTAATTTGAGTCGTACAAAGTCTAAAGCCTATATATTCATGATTCATTATTAAATTTTTAAATTGTTAAAGAAACATTTCAACCAAAAACTTAAACTTCTGTCCCAAAACTTTATACCACCACTCTACGAATCAAAACTCATAATATGTTGTTGACTCCCTATCATGCCACAACTACAATTTTTCGGAAAAAAAAATAAATATATTTTTTAATTTTTTTTTTATTTGAAGCAAGGTACTGGATTTATTATTCAGACTCATTTTGATTTACTTTATTATTAGGAGTTGGATGGAGGGATAAGTCCTTCTATCTCCCTCCAAGTGATAGGGTTTAATCATCATCCGTCCCCTCCTAGTGGGGACCCTCTCCGCATTTTATCATAAAAAAATAAAAAGAAATAAAAGAAAAACAATAAAACATACTTCATCTGTTCTTTATTACTTGACCCGCTTTGACTTTTACATTATTCACCATCTCTCCTTTGACCATCTTTTGTGAATAATATGTAGGAAAAAATATATTCCTGTATGATCTTTTTGGATTCGTCTCAATAAGAACTATCATAATATATAACTTTTATAATTTTTACTTATGAAAAATTTAAGTTATTGATCGTTAAAGTTTTACATTGACAAGCGTGATAAAAGAAACAGAAGAAGTATAAAAGAATATAATACGTATTTAAGTAATAATACTGGTTACCTGAAGTAGGACCGACACCACTAAGAGGTATTCCTGTACTAGAAGTCATGGCAAAAATCTCAGACATCCAACCCCAGGTGGACCCCTCATTTCCCGGCGGAACCCCGGAAAACACATCCCAAGGTGGCCGATCCAAAGCCGTAGCTCTGCGGCCAGCAATATCCGATACCGAACCTCGAGTAGTACCGCTCATAGAAGCGGTACTATCTTCATCATCCCAGGCCGAAGCCTTTCGGCCTGCAATGTTTGCAGCGTCGGGATATCCCGACGCTGTATTAGAAGAAGCTTCAGTGGCTTCTGACGCTCTCCTGCTGGAGATGTCGGAAGCCATAGGAGCGATAGATTGAGTCGGAGTAGTACCCCATGCGGAGGATCTCCGAGGTGTTGGTGAAGCTGACGATGTTATCGGCAGAGGAGCGTTGGGGTCGATCACGGAAGAGCGCCTGCGGCCGGAAAATGAAGTTGGTGGGTGATCCATACTTGGAAGCTAAGTTTCCAGTTGAAGAAGAATTACTAAAAAATGGATTAAAAAAAATAAGAGGTTGGATTGACGACCAAAAGAAATACTTCGTACGTAGTAAATTAATGTTCCTTACTTTCATTTACATGAATAATTTTATTGTAGTGGATGGATCCCACAATGGACTTTTATTAGAAGACCGAAGACATAAGTACTGTATAACAAGTAACGGATTTATCAATTCAATTTGATTTTGAGATACATTGAACTTGAGTAATCCAAAATTAACTCCATTTCACTCTTTCTAACATATTTTTCGTCAAAATTTTAAATAAGGGTGGTGCAATCAAGAATTTAGGTACTTATTAAAAGGTAGTTTAGTAAATAAAAAAACATGAAAAAATAAAACGTTGGATAAAAAAAGTGGTTTATATCAATTTTGCCTAATACTTCCTCCGTTTTCAAATACTTGCTCCATTTCAATTTTTTACACTATTTATTTGTCCTACTTTGACTAATGTTTGTGATTTTTATACATAAGAAAAAATATATTTTTTTGGGTACTTGTTGTAATCATCTCAATGAATAGATTATTAATTTTCAATTGTTAGAATTTATACTTATTGATAATTAAAGATATTAGTGATAAAATATTAGTATCTACATGCGTGTCAAAGAGAAATGAATCAAATATTTAAAATCGGAGGGAGTAATAGATTTAGTACTACTTGTATACTATTTTTTAATTTTTTTTTGTTAGTATGAAGTATGTTTTGATAAGCATCTTTAATCATCATCGAAATTAGATCCATTGACCAAAATTACACCCCTAATTAAAAATAAAAAAATTAATAATTTAATACGAGTAAATTTTAAAGACGATAAAAGACATGTTAAAGACGATAAGATTTTAAAACGAAGACACAATTAGAGGTGTCAAAAGCACATCCGACCCGACTTGATCCGAAAAATATTCGATTTAGATTTGAATTTGAGTGGACATAATAATTTAGTATGACTCAACTTTAAAAATTGATCCAATATGATCTTATCAGGTGCGATTCGATCATTGGACGTAAAAGTGAAAAAGTGGGCTCAATAACGTCTTAATTTTGAAATATTTTGACTTTTTTTCACCCGGAAATAAAAATTCCTGAAATGTTTACAATGGTCCCTAATACTCTCTGAGACTCCAATTGGCTGGGTGGAACCATCCAATTTGCCTTTACGACCAATTTACCGGTTTACAACTTGCACCGATTTCATTAACTCAAGCTTACCACGAACATTTATGACAACATATAATAATCATATATGGATCCAAACGACATTAAATGACCCCGAGATGTATCCCCTAAAATCTCAATTCTTTTCGACACCGGGCCACGAAACATTAGGAATTTCTCAAAAAGCGTGGATAATAAGCCTTCAATATTGGAATTTTTTAACTTTTTTTCGCCATGATATAAAAATTGCCAAAATGTTTACCATGGTCCCAAATACCCTCCAGGAGTCCAATTGGGTGGGTGGAACCATCCAATTTGCCTTTAAACGACCAATTTATTGGTTTACTACTTACACCGATTTCATTAATTCAAGCCTACCACGAACATTTATGACAACAAATAATGGTCATATATGGTTCCAAATGACATTATATTACTCTGATTTTTATTCCCTAAAATCTCAAGTCTTTTCGACACCGGGTCTCGAAACCTCCAAAATTTCTTAAAAAACGTGGATATTAGCCTTCAATTTTGGAATTTTTTGACTCTTTTTGCCCGTAAATAAATTAAAAATTTCCGAAATGTTTATCATGGTCCCTAATACCCTCCGGGAGTCCAATTAGATGGGTGGAACCATCCAATTTGCCTTTAAACGACCAATTTACTGGTTTACAACTTGCATTGATTTCACTAATAAGTCAAGCCTACCAAGAACATTTATGACAACATATAATGATCATATACGGTTCCAAATGGCATTATATGACCCCCAGATGTAATCCTAAAATTTCAAGGTTTTTCGACAACAGGCCAGGCCTCGAAATCTCCAAAATTTCTCAACAAGCATGAATCTTAGACTTTAATTTTTGAATTTTTTGAATTTTTTTTTCGCCCGGAAATAAAAATTGCTGAAACTTTTACCATGGTATTTGATACCCTTTGGGAGGCCAATTGGATGGGTAGAACCATCCAATTTGCCTTTAAACGACCAATTATTTACTAGTTTCAACTTGCACCGATTTCATTAACTCAAGTCTACCACGAACATTTATGACAACAAATAGTGATCATATATGGTTCCAAAAGACATTATATGACTTCGAGATGTATTCCCTAGAATCTCAAGACTTTTCGATACCGGGCCCTGAAACCTCCAAAATTTCTCAAATTTTTTGGAATTTTTGGACTATTTTTCGCCCGGAAATAATAATTGCCTAAATTTTTACCATGGTCCCTAAAACCCTTCGGGAGTCCAATCGGTTGGGTGGAACCATCCAATTTGCCTTTAAACGACCTATTTACCGGTTTATAACTTGCACCGATTTCATTAACTCAAGCTTACCACGAACTTCTATGACAACAAATATCGATAATATTTGGTTCCAAACATCATTAAATGACCTCGAGATGTATCCCCTAGAATTTCAAGACTTTTCGACACCGGGCCTTGTATACTCCAAAAACTCAAAAAGCATGGATATTAGCTAGCCTTCAATTTAGAAATTTTTGACTTTTTTTTCGCCCGGAAATAAAAATTGCCGAAATGTTCACCATGGTCCCTATAATTACTGTCCGGGTGTCCCATTGGGTGGGTGGAACTATCCAGTTTGTCTTTAAACGACCTATTTACCGGTTTTAAACTTGCGCCGATTTCATTAACTCAAGCCTACCACTAACATTTGTGACAACAAAAAATGATCATATATGTTTCTAAATAGCATTATATGACCCCGAGATGTATCCCTTAAAATTTCAAGACTTTTTGACACCGGGCCCCGAAACCTCCAAAATTTCTCAAAAAGCGTGAATGTCTTCAATTTTGGAATTTTTTTACTTTTTTTGCCCAAAAATAAAATTTTCCAAAATGTTTTCTATGGTCCCTAATATTTTCCGAAAATCCTATTAGGCGGGTGGAATAATCCAATTTTCCTTTAAATGACCAATTTACCGGTTTACAACTTGCACCGATTTCATTAATTCAAGCCTACCACGAACATTTATGACAAAAAAAATAATGATCATATATGGTTCCAAATGGAATTATATGACCCCAAGATGTATCCCATAGAATTTCAAGACTTTTCGACACCTGGCCCCGAAACCTCCAAAATCTCTCAAAATTAAAGCGTGGATATTAGCCTTCAATTTTGGAATTTTTTGACTTTTTTTTTGCCGGAAATAAAAATTGTTGAAATGTTTACCATGGTTTCTAATACCTTTTGGGATTCCAATTGGGTGTGTGAAACCATTCAATTTGCTTTTAAACGGCCAATTTACCGGTTTACAACTTGCACCGATTTACCGCTTTACAACTGCTAATTTAATTAACTTGCCCCGAACCCGACTTGAACGGATTGACCCAAAACCGTCAAAACCCAAATTTAACACGACTTGTTACTAACCTGACCTGAATTCAACCCGATCCGTTCCTAACCCGACCCGAATTTAAACCAACCCGTTACAAACGCGATCCGAAATCAACCTGACTTGTTATTGACCTGACCCAAATTCAACCCGACTTGTTGTTGACCCAACCCAAATTTAACCATACCTATTACTTACCCAACCCAAAAATTCAACCCGATCTTTTACTAACCCGACTCGAAATTAACACGGCTTGTTATTGACCTGACCTAATTAAATTCAACCCAAATTGTTCATGACCCAATTTTAAATCACCTTAAAAGAAATTTAGACCACCTTATTATTGTTGATCAAAGCATTTTGCCTTGGGAGACCAAGTCGGTCCAGGCCAGCAAAAGAAAGGAGCATCATACTCAAATTTAAGAGTTAAATATAGTATATATTTGTTGTATTGTCAAAGGAGATAATTATCTTCCTAAATTATAGACTATAGTTCCCTAGTATATTTCCATATATATTATAGTCAAAGGAAATAATTAGCTTGATAAAAATGATAATTATCTATTTATAGTTAGTTGAACCCGAATATGACCTGACTTAATTGGAAATGACCCGACCTGATTGTAACTTGCAAATTATTGACTTGAACATAACCCGACTTGAATCCAAGAATGACCCGACTTGTAAATGACCCAACCTGATTATAACCCGCAAATTATTGACTTGAACCGAACTTGACTTGAACCCGAGAATGACCCGAATTGAAAATGATCCGACCTGATTATAATCTGCAAATTATTGAGTTGAACCGAACCCGACTCAAACCCGAGAATGACCCGACCTGATTCTAACCCGCAAATTATTGACTTGAACCGAACCCGACTCGAATCCGAGAATTACCCTAACCCGTTTTAACCCGTGAAAACCCGAATTAAACCCGAACTATTGTTCACCCGACCCGAATGTAACCCGACATGTTATTAACCCGACCTAAACCCGATAAGAAGTATGACTCGACGCGCGTGAACCGACTCAAGCATGACCCAACCCAAACCCGACCCGCATATGTTATGGAATTAATCTGAATTAACCCAATCCAAGTTGACCCGATCCACTCTTACCCAACCCGTTTATCCAAATTGACAGCTCTATTCTGGACGGCGGCCTGGCTGGACGACGACATGGGCTGGGTGGGTTCTTTGGCTGGTGGAAGTTTTAAGTTAATTTATTATGTATTTATTATTTTCTTAACTAAATTACTCGTATTAAATTTGTTTTATTTTTTTAATATTTTAATCTATTTTTATCAAATCATATGCTGACACGTGTCATATAACTTGTTATGACAAGTTAGATCACCGGTGGGACAATTGAAAGCAAATTCATATCAGAGTTCGGATTATTAAAAAATAATCCAAGTTGGGATTGTTTTGAACGAATGAGGCAAAGTTGAGATTATTCTTAACAATTTTTCATTTACAAAAATGTCATTTGTTAAACATATTTTTGCTTATCTAGGTTATAAATCACGTCTTGCTCAATTTAAAGTCTATTTTATCCTATGTAACATATTTTTACCCCATACTACTAGACCCATTGACCTAAATTACACCCCTAATTTAAAGATAATAATGATTTGACGTTTTCTATGTTTTTAAATACTTGCAACATAGCCTTGTGGCACACACTTTGAGATCGACATTATATAATGTTAATGATCAAATTAATTAATATAATTTTTACACACGATACTTAACCTTTCACTAATTCTAGTGTTAATACAATTTTGAAAAGAAATCATTCGTTTACTATTCACTAAACAAATGATTTCTTTTACACTATTCACACATTACACTTTGACTTGCTTTTGTGAATTATAAATACCATAAAATATAATCATGTGACATCTTGTTTGAATCATCCTGATTTATATTTTATTAATATCTAGTTTTTATAATTTTAGAATATTGATAATTAGAGATATTACTCGTTAGAAAGATAAATTGACAAGCGTGATAATATAATATTTCAATTTAAAAAATAGGAAGTATTAAAGACAATAGAACATGTAAAAAGTCTAAAACGATAAAAAGATAAAATGAGCCAATAAGGGTCCAATACATTAAAATTGCTAATTTTGGTAGGCATGCAACTATGCAAGTAAAGAATAAGGAGTATATTAAAAAAAAAAAAAAAGTAAAGAATAAGGAGTAATTTTTTTTTTAACCAAAAAAAAAAAAAAAAAAGAGTAATTTTTAACTTTATGAGAGATTATTAATTACACCTTCTACCCTTCTTAATTTTTGGTCTTGACTAGTTTATTTGGAGGAAATGTACGGACAGCCACCACCTACCCAAGCAGCAGCATCGTCAAGCAGACATGATGTAGCACTTTCTATTTCTCCTTTACCGGAATCCTCTTCCACCACCGCTGTGCCGCCGCCTTCACAACCACCACCACCACTGTCAGCAAGTGAGTGTCTTTTCAACTCCCATTAAATTCTTGCCCAATAATTTCTGTCTTTTTTCCCTGTCATTTTTTAATTTTTAAATTACTGTTTAGCTTGTATAATAACCTATGAAAATAATCAGTCTTGTTGAATGAAATTTTGTTTGAAATTTAGGTTTTTTTTGGCAATTGGCAATTGTTTGTTGTAGAATTTCTGGGTATTGTTTTGTTTGATTTATACTCAATTGGGTGTATGATGGTCTGTTTTTCTTTTGGGTAATAAATTTATTACCAAATCAAGTAAAAATCTGGTTGCTATTTTGGCAAATAATGTAGAATTTATATATTTCTTTTTCTATTTCCGGAAACCATTATACTTTCTCAACCTTTTATTTTACTGGTTGGTTTTGGCATTTTTTTTGTTACCCTGATGTATAATACAAACTCTTATATGTGGGGTGGCCACATGAGGCCAGAGGTTATTCGATTAGTGTTATAAGGGTAGGGGTATTCGATCATTGCTATAAAAGTTACTTTGTTATTTTACAGCGGTCATATGCTGTGGCTGGCCACACACAAAATGCGATGCATCCAGATAAATATGTATAGAGTTTAGAGTATGTGTAGTACAGTAATACATACATAGAATTTATCTAGTTTAAATACTTTTTTTATTTTTATTTTTGTAAATTTGTTTTTATTGTACTAATTATGTCTATGTCCCAATTTTCTCTGATTTTGCAACTGCATGATCTTACAGATATCAGAAACAGCAGCAGAGAGGATTTTTTAAAATTTGGCTTGCCACTCTACAAAGCAGCTTTGGAAGGCAACTGGGCATCTGCAGGACAAATTCTGCATCAATCTCCTGATTGGATCCGAAAGCCAATTGCAAAAGGAGGAGAAAGAGTTCTTCATATTGCTGCAGCAGCCAAGCGCACCCATTTTGTAAAAGAGCTGGTGAAGCTGATGAGCAGAGATGACTTGACCTTAAGCAATGATGCCAAGAACACAGCTCTTTGTTTGGCTGCAACATCTGGGGTTGTTGAGATTGCCAAGGTGATGGTGGACAAGAACGATGCTCTCCCAATTATCAGAGGTAGCCGAGATATGACACCCCTTCAGATGGCGGTCTTGCTAGGGCGCAGGGATATGGTGTGGTATCTTATCACTGTCACTGATGATGATCAATTGACTGATGTTGATCGCATAGCAATACTTACTAGTTCCATTAACACTAATCTGTTTGGTATGTTCCCCTGAGCTAATTTATAATACCTGGACAGTAAGGATCTAATTTTACCTTTGTATGCAAATAGATGTTGCGAATCATTTACTGATTAAGCATCCCGAGTTGGCACTTCTTCGTAATGGGAAGGAAGAAACTGCATTACATACATTGGCTCGGAAGCCTGTAAGGTCCGGAAGCTATCATGAACAAAGCATATGGAAAACACTTGTTGGACTAGGTAATCATTGCTGCTTGGCTTGGAGTAAATGAGCTTGTTTTTAATTTCTAAAGTACGAATTGTAACTGTATTCCAGGAGGTAAGCTAGCTCAAGGAAAGGTCCCACAACAGCCATTAGAGCTACAACTAGTACAGAGGATTTGGGATGAAGTTATCAAACAAGAAGAAAAGAAAATCTCGTTCCTTATTGGATCTCCATGGAGACTGCTTTTCATTGCTGCCAAATGTGGTAATGTAGAGTTTTTAACAACACTTATACGAACCTATCCTGATCTAATATGGAAAGTTGATGAAGAGAATCGTAGTATTTTTCATATTGCTATTATATATCGCCATGAAGAGATCTTCAAGCTGATATATGAATTAGGAGCAATTAAAGACCTGATAGCTGTTGACAAGGACGGAAATGGCAATAATATGTTGCATCTGGCAGGTGCCTTAGCTCCTTCACATCGTCTCAATTGTGTCTCAGGAGCAGCTCTTCAAATGCAAAGAGAGCTTTTGTGGTTTAAGGTAACTTCACTTTTGAGTATTCCCTTTTTTAATAAGCTTAATTTTTTCAGGAGGAGCAATTACTAAGATTATTTAGCAGCAGCTTCTTTGCTTTTACACACACCCTGAAGAATTTCCTGTTCAAAATGTTCACCGTATGTTATTATGTTTCGAAATGATTGGGTTCACTTTCAGAATTCAGACCAACTTAAGACACTTGAACAGAAAGTAAGCTAATGCCTAATGGCATAATAGCCCTATATTATCTTTAATAGGTAGAAAAATAAAGGATTTGTTTCTATTTGAGTGATATCAGATTATTTCACAATGTCTACTTTCCAAATCACATCATGCACACAGTTTTTTTCCCGCTTCCGTTCCATACTTTCTGCTATCAAACCAACTTAGAGGGCCAACTAACTGAGCTGATATGTGCTTGCACAGGAATTTGTTTTCACTCTTAAGTTTACTGATTAGCATATCTATTGATAATAGGCTGTGGAAAAGGTTGTAAGTTCAGAATATGCTGAAGCTGAGAATAATAACCACAAGACTCCTCGTGCCTTATTCACTGAAAAGCATGAAGGATTAAGGATCAAGGGAGAAGAATGGATGAAGCAGACTGCACAATCCTGTTCTGTAGTCACGACCCTCATCGCTACAGTAGTCTTTGCAGCAGCATTTACCTTGCCCGGTGGTAATGACAGCAAAGGAGCCCCAATGTTTGTGCATCGGCCATTGTTTATAGTCTTTTCCATCTGTAATGCTCTATCATTGTCTAGCTCCTCTGCTTCATTACTGATGTTCTTGTCAATCCTGACCTCTCGCTATGCGGAGCATGATTTTGTCAAGTCATTGCCGCTGAAACTGATGTTAGGATTAACAGGGATGTTCATTTCAATAGTGACTATGATGGCAGCCTTCACAGCTACCTTCTTTATTACCTTTCGCCAAGGTCTGTATTGGATTCCTATTCCCATAGCGCTCTTTGCTGCAGTTCCAGTTGCTCTGTTTGCTTTCCAGCAATATCCTCTCTTGCTAGATATATATCAGTCAACTTACAGATCGTGGTCTTTGTTTCAACCTACTAAACCAAAGCTTTTCCCAAGTTATCCAACATAAGTGATGAAGTACAGCTGAATGAACAGATATTTGCAACAATTCAGAAGTGTTTCTTCTCATTGTAAACTCTTCATTTACTTTACTTTTCTGTTTTTCATGTTTCCCTTTAAAAATGTGAATAATAAGATGATTAATGTCGAAGGAATGTAATCCATCTAAGCTTTACATTAAAGAGCTAACATTTTACATACTACATAACAATTCAGTAGTAGACATTCATGAGAGCTCAGAATATGGTTTGCATGATCGGCGTGTTGTCATTACATATTTACATGTTAGTGTGACCAATTTCATTCAAACTTACCATCAATTATATTTGCAGCTTAAGGGCGATGCGTGTTGATAACCCGAACAACGAGCATGGATGTAGTATGACTTATACGAATGCAGGCCAAAATTTGACAATAGGAGAAAGGGAAAGGGAAAGAGGAAGGTTCATTCTGAAAAGACTTGAATTTCTGTAACAGTCCATTTCAACCAAACCGACTAAATCTTGTAATCCATCATCCACTCAAAATTCAACTCTCATGACCATTTTCTTCTACTACCTTAATGGAGGGCGGTGGAGAAAATTTTAGGAAGTCTTTTATTAATTTCATAGCATTTATTGATCTGAAGAGAAGAGTTGACTATTGAGTCAACTCCAAAGGCTAAAGCTCTAACCTTAATACTCATTTCACTTCTACTCAGAAACTACAAACCATTAAAGCCGAGTGTGTGCCATTGTGCCAACCCGAACCATGGATCCTTCACAAATTCCATGTTCCAGCCGTTGGCGTTCTTTCAAGTTTAACTCCATTGTTCCATCTTCTTTTAGTATATCTGGCTCACCGGCACCTCGGTATGCTTCTAGGTGGGACTCTTTTCCTTACCCATCTCTCTATCCAACTGCCTCAGACATTTCTGGCAGGTGGCCATCTGAATATACTGTTGATTCTACTTCTCTGGCGGCGCCAGATTATCCCAATGCTGATAACATTGCCACCAGATATGCATCAGTATGTGATGCTACTAGTATTAGCACTACAGATATGATTCATATGAAGGACATCATTGTTCCTTCTGCTTTCAATACATCTGCCTCACTGGCTCCTCGGAATGCCTCCACTTGGAATTCTTTTATAGGGCTGTCTAACAATCTGGTGGCCTCTGACATTTCTTGCAGGAGACCATCAGAAACCACCTCTTATTCTTCTTCTCATCAGAAGTCAGAAAACTCTAACAACGCTCGCAGCATTGCCATCCAAAAAGTAGTGTCTTCGAATGCTACTGTAGATGTGGCCAGTGGCAGTGTCCAAGCGGCTTCTGCTTCAGAAATTGCTCGACGAAAAGTGAAATTCTTGCAACGTCCAAGATGGGATGGATTTGCTGAGGCTCTACCAGCCTATAATGGTACAACTTATTGGGGTTCTGTTCTTAGTAGCGCTCCACCTTCAGGTAAGAACATTTCCTTTGGTAGTTTGGTTGATACCTCTCAAAGGTTACTAATATTGTCCTAAAATTATATAAATGTGTCGTATTACTCGTATTGGAAAAGAAAGTGTAAGCCATTGTCTATTAAATCAGTTATTCTGAAGTACAGAACCTATATAAGATCATGTAATCACTTGTTTAGCTCCCTTTCCTCCTGTTTCTGTAGGTAAAAACCGAGTATTTTATGCTGGCAACATCAATTATATTTATCAAATTCGCAAAGATAAGCTTCTGGCTGTGGCCGATGTTGAGGCCATCATGTACATCTATGGTGTTGAGAACACAAGTGCTCTGAGCATTGTGAAAAAACTTGACCCGAACAAACGTGGGATGTTTAACATGAACTCTGAAAATAAGCAAATTCTTCTTGCTTCAACAATCAGTTTCTCAAACATGAAGGAGCCTAATCTAAGTATATTAAGGCATGCAAGCAAGTGTTATCAAGATAACTTGCTCTCACCACTGCATTTTTCTTGCTATATAAGGGAACTCTTGGAAGGAAAATATTTAGGTGAGAAATACGATTTCTTTTATAGCTTTTTATTTTATTTCATTCATTTGCTTGTAGATGTAAAGCCTTTTAAGACAGACCTTGATCAGTCAAGGTCCGTCACAGGACCAACTTAGGTTTGTGAAGTTGTGAATGGCTAGGTCTCGGAATTCTAAGGACCGGTGTGACTTGAACTAACCGTTCTAAGTATCTTTGATTGGAACAGGAGATGGATCTCGAATAATGCTCCTTGGAATATATAGCATTCTTGGTGTTTTGGAGGGTTCATCAAACCATGGACTTACCACAAAAGATGTGAAGAAGTTCATAAAATTACCACATTCTTACGAGAGACATGTGCGAGACCTTATAAATATGATCATAAAAAATTACAATGGAACTATTTCTTGTTCGAGCTTGTACAAATTATTGTACCGTCGAAATTTGTTTGGAAAGCTGCATATTCTAATGTTTGACAATCTAGGAGAGCAAAACCCGTCAATGTTCTTCTCTTTAATGGACAAAGGCGAAGATGGATTCCTCTCATCTACTGATCTTCGTAGGTTTGCTGCCATCTTTGGTCGATATCCATCGGATGAAGTGATCGATCGTGTGACTCGCAAGCTTGATTTCGACGGTGATGGTAAGATAAGCTTGGAGGATTTTCATGGAACAATGGAGCCTATATTAGATGGGTTGACATGGGAATTTTGGTTGGTTGCTATCTTGATTACTTTGAAATTTTAGTCAGATACAGGGCTATTCTTAACATGCCATTTATGACAGTCATGGGCTAATTACAATTTACGTTGCTGATCAAATTTACCAATTTGTAGGTAATATAATGTGTTCTATTCACCTAATTTTCACTGATTTGAAATTATCTAAACTTATTATACTTTATTAAACTTATTTTAGCTTTAATTTGTACTTGGGTAACCCAACTTATTAAACCTAAACTGTACTTATCTGAACCTAACAAAACTTATCTGAACTTATTACATCTGAAATACGTGAAAATAAGGTGAACATAATTTGTTAGTAGTTGGTGCTTCATTTTTGTCCTCAATGTCTCCAAATTTTTTCAAATGTAAAATTAAAGGTTTGTTTTCATGAATTTGTTTAAAATACTTGTGTATATAAGATCTTCCGTAGTGAAGGAAAATATTTGTATTTCAATAAAAATACTGTAAAAGATTTCAATAAACTTCCAAACTTATACATGGTCAAAGTAAATAACGATGCATACGTTAAAAATTTTCAAAGCATTACTTTTGCCTAAGTTAACTTTAGTTATATTCCAATAATAAACAATCACAGTAAATTTTAATACTACCTCCGGTCTAAATTACTCGCAACTTTGGGGGTATTATTTGTGAGGTATAAACTATTCCAAAATTACGAGTAATTTGGACCGAAGGTAGTAACATATATTGAGTAATCCAACCACAGGTCACAACTTATATAAAGTTATTTACTCATACTATTACTCCGTAGTGGCGTAGTATTTAAACATGGTCAAAGTATATATAAAAATAGTGTGAGAATTCAATATAATACGACTATTGTGAAATAAAGAAAGTAGTATTTTGTATTTTTGTCAAATATAAAATTTAACACTTACAAAAATACCAGCTGATTATGACAATTGTAACAATATACGAAGTATAAAATAAGGACCTGCTCACTGGTTGACTGATTGTGCTGCCCTCCTTGCTCATCTTCCTCTTTCTGGTTCAATGGAAATCTCTGCTTGGTGGCTCATTCAGGAGTTGCGAGCTTCGGTTTAGTCTCTTTTGGTTTGTCAGGTTCAAAAGGTTCCTCGTTTGTGGGTCAATCCTGCTCACTGGTTGGCTGGTTGTGTCCGGCGTCGTCAGTTGTTGTATTTTCTGTTTTAGTTTTTTTGGGTTGACAGTTGTTGTTTTGTTTGTTGTTCCTTTTATTTGATAGCTCTTTTGTCAAATATATATATATATATATATATATATATATATATATATATATATATATGTATATGTATATGTATATGTATATATTAACTATTACTAAAACAAAACGTTCCTGACGTCATCACTATCCACATGTCACACCCATAATAAAAAATTTCCCGCCTAAATGCAAGAATGGTGTCATGTTTATTTATTTTTTTTTTTTTTTTTTTGTAGAGCTATCATATTTTTCAATTTTAAAAATTGAAGCATAGAAGCTTTTACTAGAGATGGCAATGGATCGGATTCGAATCGGGTGGAGCTTCACCCGCATCCATCCATTACTTTAATCGCTCCATCCATATCCATCCATCATCCGCTTCACCCATCATCCATATCCGTCCGTCCATCATCCGCTTCACCCATCATCCATATCCGTCCGTCCATCATCCGCGGATGAAACGGGTGGAGCGGATGATTAATGAATAAGTATTAAAATGGAAAAAAAACTCACATAAACTCTAAATTCGGTTATTTGTACAATAATTTTTTTTATTTTATTAATTAAAAATGAAACAATAACAATATATGTTTGAAAAATTAATTTGCAACATAAAAAATAAGTAATTTTCTTGCACATTTCATATTTTATTATTAAAATTCTTAAATTAAAAAATCTAATATATGTTAAATGGGTGGGTGGATGGTTAGCTGATGAAAAAAGTATCATCCACATCCGATCCGATCCATCACCCGCTTCATCCGTCACCCGCTTTTCATCCATTTAATTCGGGTTTTCGTCCATATATTTATAGCGGGTGGAGCGGATTTGTGGATATCCACTTAATATTGCCATCCCTAGCTTTTACATTACAACTACAACCTATTAATTCATCCTACAAAAAAATAAAATAATTGTAAACAGCACACTAATAAATGGGCTCATACATTAAAAAATATGTATTAGACCACGTTGAACAGGTATTATATTTTTGATGAAAATTTAAAATTTTAAAATTACAAATATTTTTGTACAAGATAATTCATATCAATATTTATCCATCTTTTAAATGTGAAAATTATAAAAATAGATTTTACATAAAACATGCATCGCACGGGTTCTAACCTAGTATATATAAAAAATAAAATGAATATTGAAATGATAGTGAAGAATTCTCGTTAAGTTGCCATAAAATCAATTTTTTAACATTACAAGGTTGATAGACAGCGTATTAAATTGTGGTAGATATTAATTTGTTTTACTAGTACTTCGTAATACTTCCTCCGTTCTGTTAATATTGCAACAATGAACTTTTTACACTATTCATCACTCTTGTTTGACCATATAATATGATTTATACGTTAAGCAAAATATAGTCATGTGAGATCTTGTTGGATTCGTCTCATAAAATACTTTCACAATATCAACTTTTTATATTTTTTACCCTTACACAATTATAGATATTTAGCATATAAAATGTGCATAGTGATGCGTAATTTTCTCCTTGTTGCAATATTAATAGAACGGAGAAAATATGTAATACTAGCATGTGATTTGTTTTAACCCTTGTCAAAAAAAAAAAAAAAAAAAAAAAAAACCAGCTCTCGTGGGCCACGTTAGCCTAAATGAATTGAACATTCCACGACTATACAAGTATAAATTTTGTGGAATAGTGCTACATTCCACGAAATTACTACGGACTACTTGGCACTTTCTTATGCAGAAAGCCACAAAGGTACCGCCAAGGCGCCAACCTATACTAAGGAAAAGTCTAAAATAGGGAAACGTCGAGCAAAATATTGCATGATCTTCAAAAGCAATGAATGTTAAATACTTCATCTGTTATTTTTTACTTAACCTATTTCTTTTATCACGCTTGCCAATGCAAAACTATAACGGTCAATAACTTTAATTCTCTATAATTAAAAAATATAAAAGTTATATATTATGATAGTTCTTATTAAAACGAATTCAAAATGATCTAACATGAATAAGTTTTTCCTTACATATTATTCACAAAACACGGTCAATTGAAGGATGGTAAATAGTGTAAAAGTCAAAGCGGGTCAAGTAAAAAAGAACGGAGGAAGTAGGAAGAAATTAAGATTTGTAATCCTCTAACTTTCTTAGGGTCTTATACATATACTCTCACTAATTTAGGTCTCATACCACGCATGATAATTTTTAAAAACAATACTCCAATCCGTATCAACTTTTAAATATAATTGGTTATTTAAAAAAAAATTAAAAATTTTAAATAAATTAATAAATATACACATTACTTTGATGTGAAATCTAATCAATTAATGAGCTTCTATTTTTATTAAGGATTCCCCTACAAACCATTCGCGCGAATATTGATTATTATGGGAAAAAAATATATCGAATCTTTTTTATTTGAAGTAATTACTTATCTTTGTTAACTTATGTAAGAAATTATTTTTGTATAAGATTTTATACTTTTATTAAATTTATTTTTATTTTTATTTAAAAAAAAAAAACTAAAGACGCACTGGGAGATGACGCGTGTTGTGCCATGCATGTGATCGTTATACATTATTAATAAATAAAAATTATAATCATAAATTGGTCGAGAAATAATAATAAAAGTATGTGATATGTTAAATTTTAATGGAAAATTTGCAAATTGCAGCCATTTAAAGTTCGTATTTTGCAAATTGCAGCCATTTAAATTTTTTTTTTTGCAAATTGCAGCCCAAAAGTTCGTATAAATTGTAAATTGCAGCCCAATTCAACTTTTTCATCGTTTTACAAGTTGAAAAATCTTCGATTAAGGTTTTAGGGGCCATTTTAGCCCTTAGGGATCCGAATTGAGCTCGGAATTAGCAAAAAAATAACGCAAGTATCTCGTTTTGCGTAACAAAAGTGTATCGATTTGTGGGAAACTGTAAATATGAGACACTTACGTTATTTTTTTTGCTAATTCCGAGCTCAATTCGGGTCCCTAAGGGCTAAAATGACCCCTAAAACCTCAACCGAAGATTTTTCAACATGTAAACCGATAAAAAAAATTAAAGCGGGCTGCAATTTACAATTTATACGAACTTTTGGGCTGCAATTTGCAAAAAAAAAATAAATTAAATGGCTGCAATTTGCAAAATACGAACTTTAAATGGCTGCAATTTGCAAATTTTTCAATTTTAATTGTAGCTTCTAATACACAATCTAATATTTATATATATATATATATAGGATTTAATTTTTCTTAACACGCCACGTAGAATTATAAATTTAATTGTAGCCAATAAAATAAGAGATTATTAATTTATTTTTAAATTAAATAATTCAAATCCCATATATGTAAAATTATCGAATGAGATTTTTTAAGTTTAAATTAATTAAATATAAAATATTATCTTTTGGTATTATGAATTTTATCTAAATATATAACAAATTTTAGCACATACATTAAAAAAAATAAATTAATTAGGTAAAAAAATAAAATATATATTTGTGAAATATAGCTACCTAATTTAAATTTAAATTAGGTTAGCTATATTTCACAAGTAAATATTATGACCAAGTATAACGTATTTGAAAGTTCGTTATTTTAATCGTATCACCAAAATAATCTATTTGAGCCCACAATAACATTGTGATAATGTTTATGAATTAAACATGGGTCGACCTTGGCATTATATCAAATTAAAGAAAGATATATTTACCTAATAGCGTAACTGGGCAAGTAAATGTTGTATTTACAGAGCAAAGTTTCGTGGAGTTAGTAGGGAACTCACCTTGTGAGTTGTGACTTTGAGGTAACAAGTTCAAGCCCCACTATTACTAATTTACTATTACTATTACAATTACTATTACTATTAAATTCTGAAGTGCATATACCATTGATTTAGGTAAGTGAAAACATTTATTGTGTACCATATTTAACATATGTTAATAGTAGAAATATAAAATATAATAGTTTAACATTTTCAAATTATTATAACTGCATATCAAAATATGAACATAATTAGATAAGAGTTTAATTAACATCATGGTGAATTAAACATCTACTTTCATATGATCGTCATTTTCATTATCTTCATTGTCGCTTTGATCTTCGTTGTTATCATTTTCATTGTCGCTTTGATCTTCGTTGTTATCACATATTTTAAAGCACACAATTTTTTTGCAGTTTTTTTTATTCTTTTTTTTTTATCATTGGTTATTATTATTTAATAAAATTATGTATTTAGTATTATTATAAAATATTAAGTATTGCTTTTCAAAATAAAAATATTAAGTATTACTATTCGTCTATTCCCTAAAAAAAATATTAAATATTTGTTGTTATTATTCTCGGTAAATAGTAGAAATTGTTATTATTTTTATTTCAAAAAAAATAGAAATTGTTATTATTATTAATGTTTTTTGAAAGAATTGTTAAGATTATTAAAAATTATTAATTAATAATATTATTAAATATTAATTCTTAATATTTTGAATTATTAATTATTATTGATAATCATTATTAATTATTATTATGAATAATAAATATTAATTATTGAGACAAAATAAATATTAATTATTATTAATATTAATTATTATTATAATTATTTTAAATATTAATAATTATTTAAAATAATGAATTATTATCACCAATAAAATATTAATTATTATTATTATTATTATTATTGTTATTATTTGAAAATAGAGCAGAGAAGAGCAGAGCAGATTTAATCTGAGCATAGCAGACAAAGCAGAGCACTAAAGAACGGGGGAATAGATCTTTACCTTTTGCTTATTGTGAAATATGTCATTTCTTTTATGGAATATTAATTTCTTTTAAATAGAGGAAATAGAAGCCTTTTAGAATGCACTCTTAAATAGCTGGAAAGACTTCTCTCGTTGACTTGTATTCCTTATATGTACTGCTCTTATCCATGACAATGGCTAAAAATTGCTAAATATTTTCATATACTTCTTAGTTTATTGTATTTTCTTAAAATTTTATTTTTTGAAAATGTCGGAGGGAGAAAATGGAGAACCACACCCAAATTTAGCCCGAGAAGGTGCTCAACTTGGATCTCAGCTTCAACCCATTTTTCTACCAGGTAAGGAGGTGCTTTTTTTAATTTGTAATTTTTTTTAGTACAACTTATTAAATAGTATTACTATTGCAATTAACATCAAAATATTGATTTGGTATGATTCAGTCTTTTTTTTTTTTTTTTGAAACCATTTGGTAATGATTCAGTCTCATTGAATATTTGAAAGAATAATTTACAACTTTCCACAATAAAATACATTATTGCGATTAGAAAGAACAAAGTACTATGTACTAACTATCATACTATGTATAAATAATCAAATGTGTGCTTTAAAATCGTGAAAAATCAAGTGGAACCATTTCAATGAATTCTAAGTAGCAGGTTGTCATATTATGTTTCTTCTAAGTATATTCACATATGATGAAAGTATAGATGAAACAAGCATGGAATTCTTGCAATATGGTGTGAGACTATACCAAGCAGCCATGAAAGGTGATTGGTTGACTATAGACACGATTAAGCGTCAATCCCCTCCTTGGATCTGCGCAAAGATTACGAAGGGAGGCGAAACAGCTCTTCATATTGCCGCAGCAGCAAAACATGTCGATGTTGTTAAAAAGCTCGTACACTCTATGTCCTCCGATTCTCTAGCTTTGACAAACAAGGTTGGAAATACAGCACTTTGTTTTGCGGCTGTGTCCGGTGTTGTTGAGATTGCAAGAGTGATGGTGGAGAAGAATGTCGAGTTGCCAAACATCCGAGGAAGTCAAGGGATGAAACCACTTTACATGGCCGTCTTGCTTGGCCACCGGGACATGGTTTGGTACCTCCTCGACGTCACTGAAGATAAACTATTGACAGATCAAGACCGCATTGGATTACTTAATAGCTCAATCAACACGGACATATTTGGTAATTAAGCTAATTCCCTTCTCTACAAATTAATAACTGCCTAAAGTTTATTTCTTACTCGGACTCTTCATTATTTTACCTCAAGAACCTTCATTCTCAAGGCAGTTGTTACTTCATCTTGGACTAAAAAGATGTAAAGTGTATTGATAGATTATAAATCATATTCCTATAACTTTTTGTGTCATGCTAACCTAATACCATGTCACCAACTCAAGGTTGTTTTAATAAAAAAAAAAAAAAAAAAAACAACCAACTCAAGTTTGAGACCCAAGAATATGTTTTATACTACTATATCATGTAACCATTTAAGATGAAAGATTACACAAGTTGAAATTATTCTTATTACATCACAAAGTATTTGTTGCTACTCTAAGTCTCCAACTAATTCTATGATCAATGTTTCATGAATCAGATGTAGCATTACATATTCTTGACAAGAATCGGAACTTAGCCTTCTTACGAGATGCTAAGAATGAGACTGCACTACATGCGCTAGCTCATAAACCTCTGAAGCCAATAGCCCATCAATCGAGTATATGGAATGTGATGATGGAGCGATTAAGTAAGTTACTATGTATGTATGTATGTATGTAAAAGAATTGCTATTTATAAAATGGAACAATTGATTGAATAAGTTGCTACTTATGCATGTAAAATTGCTCTCTATAATTGCCAATTAGTGCCAAATCGATCAATTAATCAATGTGGACTCGATCTTTTTCAGTGAGTAGCATATATCAAGAGAAAAGGGTAGAGCCACAGCTTGCACTTCAACTAACACAAAACCTTTGGGGTGAGGTCATCAAACTGAAGGAGGATATATCGAACTTGATAGGCTATCCTTGGAGGCTACTATTTGTTGCAGCGAAATTAGGGAAGGTTGAGTATTTGACAACCCTGATCCGGTCTTATCCAGATCTTATATGGAAGGTAGATGAAAACAGGCGTACTATTTTCCACATTGCAATCATGCACCGCCATGAGGAGATCTTTCAACTGATCTACGAGATTGGAGCAATTAAGGACTTAATAGCTACATTCAAAGATGATCATGGTAATAACATGTTGCATTTGGCTGGCAAGTTAGCACCCCCTCATCGACTTAACTCTGTGTCCGGAGCAGCTTTGCAAATGCAACGCGAAATATTGTGGTTCAAGGTGATGATAACTCTGTGAATGCAAATTCTATAATCCATTTCATTTGATACATAATTTTAAGCTTCAATTAATTTCTTGCTTTGTTGTAGGCAGTAAAAAAGGTAGTGAGACCTGAGTATGTTGAAGCTGAAAATGAGGATAAGAAAACTCCTCAAACCTTGTTTAGCGAGGAACATGAAGAATTAAGGGCCAAAGGCGAGCAATGGATGAAGAAGACTGCTGAATCATGTGCACTCGTTGCTACTCTTATAGCTACTGTTGTATTCTCAGCTGCCTTCCAACTAACTGGAGGTGTTAACGATAAAGGAAGTGCTGTCCTACTGAAAAGTGCATGCTTTGTGGTATTTTCCTCCTCGAATGCAGTATCATTGTTCACCTCCCTCGCTTCTGTGCTGATGTTTTTATCAATTCTCACTTCGCGGTATGCAGAAAGTGACTTCCACATTTCACTTCCCTTAAAGCTCATGATGGGACTCACCTTATTGTTCGTTTCGATTACAACCATGATACCAGCCTTCACTGCTACTTTCTTCATAACTTTTATTGAAGGTGTGAAATGGCTTCCTATTCCTATTGCCCTGATCTCTTCAGTTCCTGTTGCACTTTTCGCCTTGCAGCAGTGCCCTCTCTTGTTGGACATATATCGCTCAACTTACAAGTCTCATCAATTTCTATTTGAATCAAGCAAAACAAAGCTTTTCGACCATTCTTCTCAGCACGATCTCATTGTAAATGCCGCAGCAATGGTGTCCATACGCTCAATTAAGATTCATCCAATAACCTCCTTAACTTCTAACATCCCTCGCCACAACTCTTCCCATAGGCCAACACCCTCACAGATAGTAGCACCTTGTGCTTCAGAGAATAACACACCCAAATTTTATTCCTCAAATGATTTGTTTTCAGAAGCTGATCCTTGAAGCGGATTTTAAAGTTAGCAAGGAGAAATACTCATATCAGCTTATATCTGCCAGAAGCTTTTGCTCATCTTTTTTTGAGCTATTACTATCATTTTTTAGGCCATTAAGCTATTAGTTTGTTCATTTAATCATTCTTTAGTTATTCAACTGAATTCATATGTGACTAATGATTAATAATTCATTATTCTTTTAGCTAATTACCTGTTTTTAATCCTAGAGTACTGTCATAATGAGAGTGAACAATTCTGATTCTTACAATAGTTAAATACTCAAATGTATCATATATGGTGTTATGTTCTAAATTAAGCAAACATCAATATCTACCCGATGATCGTGGCCCATGCCATATAATATCGTGGCCCATGCCATATAAAATTTTACACGCTCTTATAGCCTCTTATTACATGTTGCTCATTTCACTTTTTTGAGCATCATCTGTAAGACTCCTAAATCTTTCAAATAATACACATAATAGAAATTCATCAGTTCAGATTTTTAATCCAATTGCAGTTGTAATAATAGATACACTGACATAACAGAAATTCATCAGTTCAGATTTTTAATCCAATTGCAGTTGTAATATTAGATATACCGACATAACAGATATTCAATAAGATCAAGATCTTAAAATGTTAATTTATAGTGCTTACGCAAGTAGCGATTTCAATACAAGCTTAATAACTTTTACTGACAAGGTTGAATTTAAACACTATTTACAAACTCTATTTTGATATTTTTATATATAAGGCAAAAGCTAAAGCACACATCGAGGGCATTAGATAAGCTAACTAAAAGTAGAAAGATTAAATTAATTTAACATTAATTACACCTATCGCCACTTGATTTTGTCATGTTTTCTCAAATTAATGTCACTTTAGGTAATATTTTAAATGCTTATCCAACTTCCCGGGGACGTTCGTTAGTAAGATCCTTATAATAAAGCTCATTCACATAGAACCAGAATTGTCTCAATACCTATTTCATAATAACAAATTTAATAATTTTGCATATAAATAATTAAATCACTTTTATAATATATACTACCTCCATTTCATATTATTTGCAACGATTAGACATTTTTCCTCTCTATTTAATGTCAAATTGTTGCAAATAATATGAAACGTTGCAAATAACCGAGCATGGCTCAAGAATTACCTACTACGGAGTATCATATAAATCTAAAATTTGATATATTTCGTAAAGCCGCCAAGTAATGAATGCTTCTCTTTCCCTTTCCTTCCTAGTTGTGCTAGTTCCCACACGTTTTGACTTAGAGATAAATCATGAAATAAAAACGCTACTTCAACATGAAAGTTGAACGAAATTTACATTTGCACAAAGGACAGTGGACACGGACTAAAGTTGACTTGATATATCATTCTCCCATGCGTATTTTCACCAAGCTCCGATTTAAATTTCAACATTTTCTTATCTCCAAAAAAGAAAATGTAACTAGTATTACAACTGCAATTGGATTAAAATTGCCTTTTGGTGATAAGTATCTATCTTTCGAATCATAATAGCAAGCTTAAACCACAAGTCTGATACCTACAAGTTAGCAGTAAAAGACACAAAAAGAAGCCAGCAAATGACGAGTTCACAGCAGACAGAAGATGTATTTCCGTCGCTCCCTCAACCTGTACCTCTGCCTCGACCACCAACATCAATTGCAGGACCATTTCCTCCCGCTAACCAACCTGGTGAGTTCATCTATAAAAATACTCATTATTTTAAGCTTAATGTCTTTAATTGCATCACTGCAGGAATTGACCCTTTCAAACAAAAATCATTTAGGCTCCGTTTGTTTTAATGGAAAAGATCTTTAGAAAATCATTATTTTTTAAAATAAAATAAAATAAAATAAAAACTAATGGAAAATATGATTGGGGGAATTAATTTCCTTTGTTTGATTATAAGAAACTTAAGGAGAAAAGGGGAAATGGCAATAGAGGGAGAAGGTTAGAGAAGAGAAAATAGAGTAATGAGAAAAATGTAGCATACCTTTGTTACAAAAGGAAAGCGTCTTTCTTTCTCTTAAAAGTAATTTCCACCTAAAAAATTGTTTACCACAAAACAAACAAAAGAAAATGAAGAAATGAAGGAAAATCATTTTCCATGAAAATGTTTTCCACAAAAACAGAGTTAAGATCATAATTGGACCCTCAATTCTTCATTTTTTCACCTTTTAGGTACTCAATTTTTTTTTCACCGTTTTTCCGGCAAAAAAAATTAAATCCCCCAAACAATTGAGTACCCAAAGTTAAGAATTGAGTACCTTGAGTTAAGTCATGTAGGCCCCACCCAAAAAAAATCTCCACCGTTGATCTCCAACTCCGACCCCACTTTCCTCTTTCTCTTTCCTACTTCGACAACCATAGCCCAACTCCCAATTCTTTCCTTCTTCACACACACATTTACTCTCTCTCCCCTCTTCCCTTCCACCATACTCAAGATCCAAAACACCCATTTAAAGCAATCAATTCAATTCCCGTGTTCATCCATCATTTTCTCTCTTTTCCTTTTTAATTCATCTTCCAACCTCACAACTTATTGTATTGTTGTTAGCGAAGATGTCGACATGGAAGTTGTGGGCGGTGGTGTTAATGATAGTGCTAATGGCAGGGTTAGCAATGGCGGATATGTCAGAAGAGACGAAGGTGAAGGGGAAGAAGGTTTGTACAAGAGGGTGGGAGTGGGCGATTGATTATAGTTTTGTTGCTAGTTAGGGTTTTGGTTTTGTGGGTTAATAACGAAATTGAAATGGTGATTTTTTGTTGTTTTGTCGAATTATTTGTGCTTGTGATGTTGTTTGAATAATTTGTTGTGAGTGATGTCGGATTATATAAATTGCAATTTCAAAGTACTAAATTAAATCAAATCCACAAATTGAAATTAAATATACAGTAATTAAAGAGAAGGAAGGATTACATTGAGACGCGAAGATGAGTTGAGGATTTTGCCACGACCAGCAAACACAAGAAAATGAAGCAAAAAATTAAGAAGAGAAGATGGGAATGAAGCAATTAATATGGGCAAAATCGCTGCTAACCATGCCATTCTTAGTAATCTTTCAATTTCTAACTCCATTTTCAAGATTTTTTTTTTATTTTTTATTAAAAATTTTGGGCTAATCGTGGATGGTGATTTTAGTCTTAGAGAACTTGATCTGTTTTCTGTTTTGCAAGGATGTATTCATGGCTTTTTTTGGCTGCTTTACAGTTAAATTGATTAATGTTTTTTTTTAAAATTTAATTAATTTTTTAATTATGTATGGTTATTGGTTTGTGGTGAGTTAGTGATGAGTTAGTTGGCCTGAAAATTTGTTAGAGTACCTAAAGGGTGAAAAAAAAGTTTGACTACCTAAAAGGTGAAAAAATGAAGAATTGAGGGCCTATTTGTAGTCTTAACTCACAAAAACAAATGCAGCCTAATCTTGACAAGTTACAGAAAATTCACCAAATGATATTATTACTTGTCTGCAATAAAATTAATAAGAACAAACCTAAAATTTTGAAAGAGCAATAAACATATAGACAACAAATAACTTAACAATAATTTGATATCAGACTTGGTTTAAATCCCCTCGTTCAAACAACTTATCAAGAAAAATCGAAGTACAAAAAAGCTTGTTTTGAGTTTTGACAGTACAACAAAACAAATTTCTGGTTCCTAGCACCTCTCCTTCATCTTCAAAAAAAAAAAAATAAAAAAAAAAATAAATAAATAAATAAATAAATAAATCTTATTTTTGGCGGCAACTCTCGTGTATTTCAAGAGTACTAAAACGAACAAAGGTATTCAGTTAACACAAGATTCAAATCCTGGCACTCTAGCAGCCACAAAGCTATTGAGGAGCTAGACAACTTTTCAATCTCTAATCTCAAAAGAGTTTTGTAGGTAAAACACATAGCAAAATGGAAAAAACATTTTAGCAGTTGAGTATTAAATGTCCTCGAGTAATGTTTGGCTACATCCATATATGTAATAGGTGATGATTTCTTGGCATACGGAGTGAAAATTTATCGAGCAGCACTTAAAGGTGACTGGTTAGAAATAGAAAGGGTAGCCCGTGTATCTCCTACATGGATTCACTCAAAGATCACAAAAGGTGGGGAAACAGTTCTTCACATAGCAGCAGCAGCCAAGCATCTCCATCTTGTTAAGAAGCTAGTTAATATTATGGATGCAGATTCTCTAGCTTTAACTAACAAACTTGGAAACACAGCTCTCTGCTTCGCTGCTGTTTCCGGGGTGGTTCATATTGCACAATTGATGGTAGAAAAAAACAAAAGACTGCCAAACATCAGAGGCAGTCAAAATATGACTCCACTCCAAATGGCAGTCTTGCTAGGTCATCAGCATATGGTGTGGTACCTTCTTCAAGTCACCGACCATCAACAGATGACAGACCAGGATCGAATAGGGTTGCTTACCAGCTCAATTGACACCGATATGTTCGGTAAGCCAAATTCCTCTATCAATGGCAACAACAGACTGTTACTTAGATTTTCATCTCAACAACTCATGTTGAATATTTTCTATTTTTTGGACACATATATGTGGACATATAATACTAGATACTTCCACTAGCAGTGTCACACCCTAAACACCCACCCTATATCTAATGCTTTTAATTGAGGTGAAATGATAGTCATATAGGTAAAAGCAATATGCTTTCGTGTACTAATTCTAACTTCTTAACCTTCTCTATATTTGAAAATGTTTCATAGTACAGATGTGGCATTGCAAATTCTAAGCAACCACCGCAACTTGGCCCTTCTTCGGGATGCAAAGAAAGAGACCGCATTACATGCATTGGCTCGAAAACCCTTAAAGCCAGCTGATGGAAAACTGAATGTTAGGTTCTCATTGCAATGTAACTTCCAAGACACATACCTAGTCAATCTCACAATAAGATAAAAATGGATTTATGAGCACATAAATAAATTTTTTTCAGGGACCGCTATAGATCAAGGTAAAAACATGGAGCCACAACTTGCAATTGACCTAATACAGAGCCTTTGGGATGAAGTCATCAGACAGAAGGAAGAGGATATATCTGCACTGATTGGCTACCCATGGCGGTTACTGTTTGTTGCAGCTAAGTTGGGGAAGGTCGAATTCTTAAAGACACTGATCCAATCTTATCCTGACCTTATATGGAAGGTAGATGAAAACAGGTATACTATTTTCCATATAGCAGTAAAGCACCGCCAAGAGGAGATATTCAAACTTATATATGAAATTGGAGCAATCAAAGACTTGATAGCTACTTACAAAGATGATAATGGAAATAACATGTTGCATTTGGCTAGTAAGTTGGCACCTGCTCATAGGCTAAATTGTGTGTCTGGGGCAACTTTGCAAATGCAACGAGAGCTTTTGTGGTTCAAGGTATTTTAAATTAGGCTATAAGCCTTAAGAGTTGTTTAAATTCTATAGACTTCTCATCATCACAACTAACAAGAGTTTGATTTGCAGGCAGTGAAGAGGATAGTGAGGCCTGAGTACATTGAAGCTGAAAATAATGATCATAAAACACCTCATGCGTTGTTTAGTGAAGAGCATGAAAGATTAAGGACAAAAGGGGAGGATTGGATGAAGAAAACAGCAGAATCATGTGCTCTAGTTGCAACTCTAATTGCTACCATGGTGTTCACTGCAGCCTTCCAATTACCTGGAGGAGTTAACGAAAAAGGATATCCAGTCCTACAAAAAAGGGGTTGTTTTGTGGTTTTCTCAGTGTCAAACGGAGTATCGTTGTTCACCTCTACTGCTTCAATATTGATCTTCTTATCAATCCTTACTTCAAGATACGCAGAGAGTGACTTCCTTGTATCATTGCCAATGAAACTCATGAGCGGGCTTATTTTGCTGCTCATTTCAATAGCAACCATGATAGTGGCCTTCACTGCTACATTCTTCATCACTTTCCGAGAAGGGGTACAATGGGCTCCTACTCTAATTGCCGTAATTGCTTCAATACCCGTCACCCTTTTTGCCTTACAGCAGTACCCCCTTTTGCTGGACATATACCAGTCAACCTACAAGTCACATCAATCTCTATTTCAATCAAGTGAATTAAAGCTTTTTGAGACTACTACTACAAAGACAACAAACTACCTCACTCTTCGCCAATGTCCAGCCTCTTTACTCCATGAGCAAGCTCTAACGACAACATCCAAAAGCCTCTCTTCAAATGATCAGACAGCCTCTTCTGCTTCTGATGGATCTCACTCAAGCTATAGAAAACATCCAACACCCTCACAGATAACAAATCCCATTGCATCGGAACAGGGTTCTCCTCACATAAATAAATTTCAGGCTAATTTGCGGTCCCAATCGCACTGATGACGGAAAAAGTGACATCTCATGAATCTCCAAACGGTCTTCACGGCAATTCATGAGCATTGTGGCCTTGAATTTTTTATGTTTTTTTTCAGAACTCGTCCTTATGACATTCAAGATTTATGTAAAATCATCCTTTGAATAGCCTTTTTTTAATTAAGAAAAATAATAAAAAGTTAAAAAAAAAATCAAAATTAGCCCTTGTCTAGTTATCTTATCCATATACTATAGACTTAATTATGTAATTATTGTTCACATGACCTCATACATAGCACTTGCCACTTCGCAATGACATGGCAACATGTACTGCTAAATAAATTTTAATTAAATCAAGACAGAACCAACAAATGGTGTTCTTTTAGGACTCACCACTTTTTTTCCACCCATTGAGACATGTGGTTGACAATCTGGCCATTTAACTCAACAATAACCCACCAGAGCAAATGGTACATGTAATTTTCCTAAAACTTAGGTCCTTAAATTGAATTGCAAAACTTACTCCCATCCAAACAATTTGTAAAAAAAGCTTGAAAGAAAACCAAGAACATAGAGAAAACAACAGTGGTGGAAATCTAAATCAACCACTATGATTGAACCGCAATACAAAATACACCTTCTTAAATTGCATTTGCGACAACACCATTATTTTCATCAAACACCTTAAGTCCTTAACTTCTTCCCTCTCCTCCACCACCAATCATCCTTGTAACACCGCCATATCGTTGTATCATCTCTCATTCCAACAAACTCTCCCTACCATGTACATAGGCGGCTATTCCACCTCTTTCACAGGGGTAGCTAGAGCTGTCAATTCAGGTATTCAAGTCGGGTTCCGGTCGGGTCAAATCAGGTCTCAGTTCAAATCAGGATCAGGTTGTGTCGGGTCATTCTAGCCTTAGATTAGGTTCAGGTTCAGATCGGGTAAATTTTGGTTCAGGTTATTCCAAGTCGTTCATCCTTTCGGGTGTAGGTCAGGTTCAGGTTGTATTGAGTCGGGTTTGGTCGAGTTAATAGATGGTACATTCGGGTTCGGGTTAAGGTTGGGTCAGATAATTTTTTGGTCGGATAATCTTAAAGTTGGATCATTCTTGGTTTTGGTTTAAGTTCAATTCGAATAAATTCGATGTGGTCAAGTTAACTTATTTAATTACGCTCAACATAATCTATTCAAGCATTATCAAGATTTTATTACACCTATATACGAAGTAATAAAGAACAAAAGGTATATAAAATTTTATTAAACCGTCCATGACTCGCTTCAATAACAGGTTGTGTTGGGTTATAAACATTTTAAGGTTCTAATAAGGTCGGGAACTAGTTCGGGTTCGGATTGTTGTCACGTCGGATAAATAGGTTAGACTGTTACTATTGGGTCGGGTGCGGGTTCGGATTCAGGTCATAAAGTATTGGATAAAATTATTCGTCGGTTAACCAGGTCGTGTTACAGGTCACTAGTTTCACCCCATTGTTCGGGTACACGTCATATCATTATCGGTTCAGGTCGGGTCAATTTTTGACAGCTCTAGGGGTAGCTTCTAAAAGTCCTCCCTAGTGAAGAGATCAAGGTTGCATATAGGAAATAGGTTAGAGTTCTTCATCCTGATATTGTTCTTGTCACGTCTAAAGAATTAAAAAATGTCACATCATCAATTGATAAGTTTATCACGGTTCATGAGGTTTATGTACATTGTCGAATCCTAAGAAGAGGGTTGACTTTGATCGGATGATATGGCTTCAAGGTTGTCGTTATTACGAGAAGAAATCAAAGGTTTTAATGGGTTTGTTTTATTAATTTGAAGAAGTGGGAATTGCATAATTTATTGCAGAGTTAACAAGGTGAGAGAAAGAGAGATTGAAGAAGATGACGAATTGATGAGAGGTTGGATTTGGGAGAAGAAGACGGGGTCTGCAGTAGTATCATCAAGAGAAACCTCAATAAAAAAAAATTAAAAAAAAAAAAAAAAAAACAAAACAAAACCCCATGTAAAAGGGTTCTCTTGATAATGGGGTTTTGTTGTATAAGCAATGATTAATATGGGATCTGCAACAGTATTCATGGATTTGAAGCAGAAATTAATGGTTTTTTTTTTTCTAAAAAAAATTGGAATGAAAGGGACTACACATTTTTAAAACGACTGAGTTTTTAACTCACCTTTCGTATGGTTTTGGATGGAAACAAGGGTTAGATCCCAAAAGTTGAAAAATGATAAATGTTAACATGTTAGGTCATCCCAATCTTATACTTAACTCCTCGAAACCCACATATAAACTAGGCCTGTACAAAACAATTCGAGAATCCGAAAATTCGATCCGCAACCGATCCGAATTTTAGGATATCCTATCCGATCCGAGTTTTCGTTTCGGATCGGACAGATATCCGAATTGATATCCAATAATTTAAAAGGTAAATAATTAAATTAGATATAGTATATTTTTTTTTAAAAAAAAATATTCTTAAAACAAATTAATAATCAGACAACTACACAACCTATTCACCTTACTCACTTTCTCTCACTAAATTCCTAAGAACCCTAAATTCCTCCCTTTCTCTCTCTACGCTCCACCGCTCAAGGCCTCAAGCTTCCACCCTACCCCACCGCCACGGCGCCACTTGCCACCTCAAGCTCAGCCGCTCAAAATCTCCTTCAGTCCATCTCCGCCTCTTCGGTATGTATTTTGAAGTCATTGTTTTGATGTTTTTGCCCTTTTCGGTGGTTTTCTTGTCAATTTTATTTTAATATTTGTTGTTAATTTCGTTTTGTTATCTAAATTTCGTTCTATTTGTTGGGAATTTCGGTTGTTTGTTAGATTTTCGATCAACGAGTATTTGTTTGGAATTTCGATTTTTTATCTGATTTTTCCTATCTATTTGTGTTAATTTTTGATCAACTTATTGTTTCTAGTTTTCTGCTAGTTTATTTGTCATCTAGTTTTGTATCTATTTGTGTTAAATTCATTGAATTTTTATTGTTTATTTTCTGAATTTCGTGCTTATTTTTTGTTTCTTATTTTCCTAATTTCGTGCTTCTTTGTCAATTTTTGATCAAATTCTAATTTTTTTTTACTGCTTGATACTCCTCAACATAATTATTTGAGTTTAAGTTTTCTGTTGGAGAATTCAAATTCTTATTCTGTAATTGTATGTGAATAATTTTAGGTTAATGGATGAAACCTTTGATATGACGAGTGAGAATGTCACTCCTTTGAATGAGGAAGGTGCACAAATTCCAAAAAATCAAACTCCACAATCTGAGACAGAAGTTCCTAATCCAAATAAAAGACCAAACGAAGAAGTTGCTCCAAGTAAAGGTAAAAAAAACGATCTTGGCTTTGGGAACATTTTGAGAAGTTCAATAAAAATGGAGTTGAAAGATCAAAATGCTTGTATTGTAAAATTGGTGTTTCTGGTAGCTCTAGACTTAGCACATCTATTATGAAAAATCACCTTAACATTTGTAAAGAATACCCCCCTAACATTGATAAGTCACAAAGAAAACTTTTTTTACAAAGTGGAAAATGTGGTGGGGGAAAAGAAAGGGAAGTTAGAGTTGTGGAACTTTAAGCAAGATGATGATCGTAAAGCTTTTGCAAGAATGGTAATAATGGATGAATTGCCATTTAGGTTTTCCGAGCGTGAGGATCTTCGTTACTTTATGTCGGTTGTCCAACCAAACTTTCTCATTCCATCTCGAATTACTGTGACTAGGGATTATTATCGTGTCTACATAGATGAAAAGAAAAATCTAAAAAAAAATTTAGTAAGTGTTCTTCACATATTTGTCTCACCACTAACACACGGACATCTTGTCAAAATTTGAGTTATATGTGTTTATCAGCCCACTTAATTGGTCAGAATTGGAAACTACATAAAAAAAATTTTGAACTTTTATCCAATTAGTGGTCATTCCGGAGAAGTTATTGATAAAGAAGTTGAGAAACGATTGCTTGAGTGGGGCAAGCGTAACAGTAGACAATGCTAGCTCAAATGATGTAAGACATCAATATTTAAAAAGGAGGTTTCAAAGGTGGAAAGATAGTACTGTTTTGAATGGTAGGTTTGTGCATACGTGTTGTGCAGCTCATATTCTCAATCTTACTGTGAAGGAGGGTTTGAAAGAAACGGATAACTCAATAAAAAGAATTCGTAATGGTGTGAGGTTTGTAAGATCTTCTCCGGCAAGAATGCAAAATTTTAAAAATTGTGTAAATCAAGAGCAAATCGAGTCAAAACGTAAACTTTGTCTAGATGTTGATACTAGATGGAACACCACTTACTTGATGTTAGATTATGCCTTGATTTATCGTAAAGCATTTGATTTGCTTGAAACTTGTGATGGTGGTAAATTTAGAACCGAGTTGTCAAAGACTTGTGGTGTTCTCGAAGATGAAGATTGGGACCGTGTTGCTTCTTTAAAACCATTTCTTAAAAAATTTTATGATGCCGCTCTTAGACTTTCTGGTTCTTTGTTTGTTACCTCTAATACGTACTTGCAAGAGCTTGTGACAATCAATAGAACGATTAAGAGAAGGTGTGATTCTCATGATCATAATGAGAAAATGATGCCTTATGGGATGAAGGCAAAGCATGATAAGTATTGGGAAAATATAGATAGTATCAATTTGATGTTGTATATTGCTGTTGTGCTTGATGCTAGGCGTAAGTTGGATTATGTTAAGTGGGCAATTGATGATCAATATGATTCGGATAAAGCTAGGGAGTTGTATGGTACGATTAAGGAGACTTTGACTTCTTTATATGATGAGCATTATGCCACACAACAATCTGAAAATCAGTCCACCACTTCTTTGTAGATGATTTGTCTTCACAAGATTTGGAAAACTATGATGAGCATGATATGACAATTTATGAATTTGAGAGAGATGTTGGTGCACAAAGTGTTGTTCAAAAGAAGAGTGATTTAAACAAGTACTTAGAGATGAGAGAGAGCCACATGTCATTGGAAAGAGTTTAAATGCATTAGAGTGGTGGAAAAAACGCGAGGAAAGCTATCCCATAGTCTCTCTTATGGCTAGAGATGTATTAGCCATTCCCGTGTCCACTGTAGCTTCAGAATCTGCATTTAGCATCGGTGGTCGCGTGCTTGATCCATTTCGTAGTTCTCTCTCACCAACAATGGTAGAAGCTTTAATTTGTGCACAAGATTGGTTGCAAATGACAAATGAACCACTTGTGGTCGAAGAGCGTATTGAAGATCTAGAGAAGATTGAAGAAGGTAATATATTTTTTCTTTATATGATTTCAAGTATAATTTATTTTCTTTATTTTAGCCTTAAGTTAAATGATAACTATTAACCTTTTTTTGTTTTTTTTTTTTTGGGTTTCGATTGTTGATGACTACATTTGAGGCATTCATTTGAGGGGTATTATTGGTACTGTTTTTTTCTCTTCTTTTTTTTTTTTTTTTTTTTTTTTTTTTTGCTACTGTTTTTATTATTTAGTAAAATTTAATATTGACACTTTAGTAAACTTTGTAATATTGAGACTTTATTAAGCTTTGTATTTTTAATTTGAGGAGTTGGATTTGTAATGCACTAAGACTAATGCTAGTATGCTACTGCTTTGTATTTGAGGAGTTGTATGTTATTTAATGGTTTTTTGTTAATTTAATTTGCAAAAAAGACTACTACAATTATTGTACAGGTTTTTCAAAAAAAAAAAAAAAAAAAAAAAAAAGTACAGGAATTAACAGGTACAGGATTACAAGAATACAGCCAGTCACCCATAATTAATTTTGAATTTTCAATAACATTGGATAATGGATATCCGACATATCTGGTCCGAATGATTTCGGATATCGGATATTGGATATCCGAAATTTTCGGATCGGATTCGGATTTCTATTTCTTATATCCGATCCGTGAACAGGCCTAATATAAACCCCAAACCCCAGAGCGGTCAAATATGACTTGGCCTAACATTACCGATTGGGTCGAGTACTTAAGTAAACCATAAAAAAAAATCCTATTCGCATGTAAATTCTAGGAATGTTCAGAACTTTCTTAAGAGTTCATCATACTACACAGTGAATTGCATACCATAACTTTCTTAATAGTTCATCATGCTACATAAAAACCTTAAACAAGAAATAATCTACTTAAGAAGGTTACCCAGATTAATTCAAGCAATGCGATTTTCTGGTAATTTCTACTTTCCAGTCGTTTCAATGTACACAAGTGATGTACACATTTTATACCACATTTTACCCTCGGTTTATAGCTATTTCTATGTGATTTCTAAGCTCTACAGAGCTATTTCTTGCTAATATCCTCTCCTCTAGTGTGGCTTGGTCTATTTGATTGATTTTACAGGCATATGAAGATTTTCGGATGATTTGGACGCATTTTGGATTGCCACGAGAGCTTAGTAGGATGGAAGAGATATTTCCCGTGTCCGCCTTGAAGGGCAACATTGCCCTGGCAGCCAGGGCGAAGAAGAAAAGAAGTGGAAAGTTCAGCCTCTGTCCGCCCGGACCAGGCGGCATTGCCTTGGCAGACCGGGCGAACAACACTTCATGTGAAGAGCTAAGCTAGTGATCGCGCCCGACCGGGCGGCTTTGCCCGGTTTGACCGGGCGGAGTTCGCGGAACCTATTTTCAGCGTTTTTTCGGGTTTCTTATTTTAAGGGATATAAATACCCCTTTGTAAAGCCGATTAAAACACTTAGTTATCTTAGCAGTTTTTAAACACTATTAGAACCCTAATATTCTCTCTAGATCTAGATTACATTCTACTTTCAAGTTTTAATCTTTACTCATCAACAATTGGTACTTTTCTTCATTCAAGCTATTGGTATTCATCTTTATTTCTTCTCTCACTTTTAATTGCTTAATAATTATGTTTTCTTCATTGAATATTGTTTTTGCTTTCATTAATATGTGCGAGTAGTTTCTTTATTCCAAGATCTAGCGGAACCCGAATATGATTAATGCATGATTTAATTCTTTAAATTCTCTAATAATAATTGTAATTGATTTGTTTAATTGATTATGCTTATGCCAATACTAGATTAGGGATAATTGGTATTGTTATTAGTCCTTTGTTCTAATTACAACGGGAGTTGGGTTTTGACGGATTTGAATAAATCAATTAAGGGTTTGAAATTCATCACGGGAGTAGTTGAATGGATGATTAGGATGTTAAAGTAATGTTCTTAAGGTCTTTAATTTACATGATTCCACGGAAGTAGGTTTGATTATGATTAGAGAAGCCATTGATAACTCGGGAGAGACCATTGGTATTATTCATGGATTACTTTTCCTCTTTAATCAATTAAATTATGTGTTAGGGGTAGAACGACTATTGCATTAATTGTATTCGTGGTGAAGCTTGATCTTGGATGTTTTTAGCATTAAATTGTCATCTTATTTAGATTTAATCGTTTTGACTAGTCCTTTAGATATTGATTCTCATTTATTGATTTGGTTACTTGCTTGGTAATTGCTTGAGTCTATTTAATTGGTTAAACCATAGTCTCTTGGGATCCGACCCTTGCTTGCCCGTCTACATAGTAGTGGTCTAGTTAGGTTTATTTTTGTTAGGTACGCGATACGCCTATCAACAAGTGGAAAGGGAACATAAATAAATAAAATAAAGAGAAAAATTCCTATATCTTTTTTTTTCTTTACATTTTTTATAATCATGCAAACATTTAAGTACAATATTCATAGCAGTTGTTCATGGGTCACAGTTTTCAGAAGCTTATAATTGAACTTTCAGATAATAAACCAGGCAGGCTACTTTACCAATAAATTGAGAGAAGCCATGAAATAAATTTGAGCATTGTAGACGACAAATCAATTTAAAAATAAAACTCCTGAAGCAGAAATTGAGCTATGCATGGACTTTGAAGAATCCACAGAAACGAAACTACTAACAAATTGAATAATTACTAGGATTAGAGAGGCAGTTCACACCTTCCAGAAGTAGTTTCACAATGTCAGAGGCTCAGAACACTGATGCCGCTTTATTATAGTAATAAAGTTGACTTAGGCATCTTGAGAGCTATAAAGCTTGACCTGCCTAGGCCAAACTTGACCATATACATCCTTCTGTCGGTATACACGATCCCAAGACCATGGTACATCTGCATACAAAAAAGAATTTAGAGACATGCCTGTACAAGGGCATCAAACTAGACAAGAAATGACGAAAGAAAATGAAGAAATAACCTTTGAAGAGTGGGAGAAAGTGTGAAAAAATACATCAAATAGAAACGGGAAAAGAAAAAAAAAAGTGACCTTGAGAGGAGTACAGCTTTGGAGGAAGTTCATATGGCACAGGAAGAGGAACTATTTCAGAATCAGAATCATCATTATCTCTTCGTGGCCAAGTCAGAGTAACCAGTTTTATCTTTCGAGTTCCACAGCTACCTGTTGGTCCCCTTGTATTCTGCCATTGACATCCTAAATTCAGAATACACAAAACTAACTACGATAAAGTTGCATAAACTTAAGCTAAAGAACAGAACAGAAAGAAAAAAATTATATATAAATACCTTTAGAGAGCTTTTATCATCTGTACAAGAAAATCCAAAATCATTTTTAACAACAGTAGGCAAAAATAGCACGCCAAGCTGGGTCATTCAAACAGAATAAACAGTAAGCATGAGATAAATAACCAATAAATAGCACAAGATGAGCATAGAATCTAGAGATCGCAAGTGAAAGTAACGAAATCATTTAACATCATCACCGTACACTCAAAAGTCAAAAGAATATGAGAGGATATCAATAACCTTTATATATAAACACAAAGGAGGAAGTTGTGATTATGCTTCTACAAGCTTTATAAAAGCAAGGCAAGTGAATATTTATGCACAATGGAAAATTGTAAAAGCAACCACAGGGTTCCAGTCATGATGTATATTATATTAAACACTGTTTTATCATTGTTTTTTGCTCAAGAGAGAAATTAAGATTACATTTATCCTCATCCCACCTCCTAAAATACCACCATGCACTTATACATACTCCCCCCATTTTGACATACCCAATTTATATAGACTCTTGTTTCTAGGAGAGGTGATAGGGTTGTAACCGTGTAAGTAAGGTGGATGAAGTAAGACAGACAGAGAGTAAGTAAAAAGGTGAATAGGTGTAAAAAAAATGGTGGATTAAGTAAGAGAGGGTGTAAATTGATGAAGGTATTGTAGGATATGGGGGAAAGATAACAAAATTGTTTTCCAAAATAGAATAGAGTAGAAGTGGACATCAAATAAAAGAAAACCTCAAATAAAGTGGGTATGTCAAGAAAAGGATTGTGTATAAATAAAGTGTGATACAAATCATAAAATAGATCCCAGGTCTAAATCAGTGTACCACTCCTAATCTAGCTAAATAAGCCATGCTTCACCTTATTCAAATAATATTCAAAGCTTAATATTCCCCTCCGTTTCTTTATCATATCAAACCAATAAAACCTTTTTTATTAACAAAATTAAATAAAATAAATAAGTAAATAAATAAAAATAAAATATCAAATACAATTTGCACTAAGGATGCCATTTAGGATTCCGTCAAAAAAAAAAAAAAAAAAAAAAAAAAAAAAAAAAAAGGTCATTTATGATGTGATAAAAGCCTAATGCAGGTAACCATGTATCCTTAACATTATCATGTGTCCACGTCTAACCATACATCTCATTCATACACAGTGAAATTGATAAATACCTCATAGGAACGGATCATCAATTGAGAACTATTCTTTTGAAGGGCTCCCCAGGCAGCTTTGCTGAGATTTGATGAAGTTAATAAAAACCAACTGTTTTGGAATGTATGGAACACATGTCAAAACCTTGATGATGTACTCTTAAAAAATGAAATTAAACTTAAAAAAGAAACGTGCTGAATGGTCTTACGCGAGATTTTGACCATTATAACGAACAAATGTCTTTATATGGGGCATTGCACGGCTGAACAAAAAAAGTCACTATCACTGTTAACAATTAATAAAACATATCAGTGTACAATTGTAAATGACAAACACACTGAGGGAGGGAGGGAACAAAAATTCATATCCACTTCCCTTCTGAAATTAGCAAACGCTTCTCACCTTTGGAATCTCTAGGACTATGTTGGTCCCACTAAGTGTATAGCCTAGATTTGTATAGCATGTACATCTATCAAACAAGCCAATGAAATATACTTATACTGTCATGGATAAAGTTTGAGGGGATCTGACAAACGAACTAATTAGCATGGAACTCAACAATATCATACTGACATATCAAGGTCTGTTGAGTGATGACATTGTGTTACAATCTGACTCTTTTTAATGTATTAGATTCCCTTTAGATGCTTTCTTAGAGTTAACTTTATGTTTTATAGGCCTGAGGTCCCATTATTGTGTTACTATGAGTGCAGTGTTCACTAGGGATTCTCCTTGTAATCAAATTAAAGCTCTTTAAAGGGTGAATGATTAATGAAATCTTAAGCCTTCTACTAGTGTTGCCTTACTTTTATGCTTGTTTGTTGTTAGACATTTATAGATATTGTGTCTTACTTGCATAATAGCTTCCCCCCCCCCCAAAACCAACTTGATGCACTAAGAACTCGTGGTTTGAACCCGCTTGTGCCCACCTTGAAGTATCGATCGTCACAAGCCCTGACCACCCGCACTCTATCGCCCAAATAAACGTGAGTGCTCCTATGATTTAATTACCCACTTGTAATGTTTTGTGCTCACAAGCCCCTCTTCCGCACAAGGCAAAAAGGCTAGAGCGCGCCGCACGTTTCAGGGCTCCCTGAGCGTGACACATTGACAACTGCCAAACTAATGTTTTAAATGAGGAAACAAAGGCAGTCTAGGACAAACTGCGAAGCATGCTGATACCACAACCAACGGGACTCAACAAGTGATGAACAAATAACCAAACACATAAAGCTCACAGGCTCATAGCTAGATCAACAAAGAATAAAAAATGCAAACGGTTGGAGGGCCATTTTGATAGGGTTAAGTGTTTAACACTTAAACAATGCCCTTGTGTTAGAAACCAACCTCTTTTCCATGCTTCAAATGCTTTTCTAGGCTTTTGTTTATATTTCCTAAGTTCTAGACGTTGTTTAGAGGTAGGGATGGCAACGGGTCGGACTCGGAGCGGATCATGCTAAATCCGACTCCTACTCCGACCCGAAGTCGGATCCGACATCCGACTCCGACTCCGACATTCGACATCCGACTCCGACTTCAATATCTGACCTCCGACTCCGATCCGACCTGACTCCGAGTTTTTTTTTTCATTATTCAATATACTTTGAGATGTTAGGCTATTTGGGCCTTTACAACCCACACCCAATGCCACCATGACCCACACAAAAATCCACTATCTTTTGGAGTCGGAGTCGGATAATCCGTTAAAGTCGGACATTTGTCGGAGTCAGATTTTTTTCTCGGATTTTTTGTAGGATCTGACTCCGACCCTCCTCCGGCTCGGAATCGGATTATTTTAACGAAGTCGAACTCGGATTACTTTTTTCTCGGACTCGGAGCTGATATTTTACCTCGAATCGGGGCGGAGTAGGGTCGGATCCGAACTAGATTGTCATCCCTATTTAGAGGGCAAGTGAAAAATGAAATCCAAAGGCCTTCTACACAATGGCGTCTCGTGTTTATGCTTGTGTTGTTATTAGACCTCAATAGATAGTGTTATGACATGCATATTAGCACCCCCAAACTCACTAGACGTTAAAAGAAACTCATAATTCGACCCCGCTTGTGCCTTGCCTTTACCTGCATAGTTTTCACAAGCCCCACTCATTTGCACTCCATCGCCAAAAGACAAGAGCACCCCTTTGAGATCTAGACGCCTACTAGAGTCGCTTTGTGCTTAAAAACCCCATTTCTGTACAAGGCTTGTATCCTTGCCGCCGATGTTACAACAGCCGTGGAACACAAGGCAAGTTCTAAAATTTTAGGACACAAAGACTATCCAATATTTAGACACAGGTATGGGGACACGTCAATACGCCACTTAAATTTATACAAATAGATTATACATTACAAAAGCTTTGAATTTTTCATTACGTCCACCCCTATTTTTTTTAATTTAATTCTTTCCTCGGTAAATTCCCCAATAAATGACAGTCTTCTTCTATCCATCTTCTCTATATCAATGGTGGTCTTCGAACAAGATGAGTTTTTCTTTCCTATTTCTCCTCTTTTTTCCTCTCCACTCTAATGGAAGTGTCCGAGTGCACGTGAAGGGTTGGACACAAGTCCTGTGTCTGTGTCAACATTGACACTTCGCGATTTTAGCCATGTGCAATTAACATAGCTTGCCATCAAAAGACAAGAATGCGCCGCTTGATCCGGTGTCAAAAGACAATGACACCTTGCGTGCAGCACTAGGTTAAAAAAATAAAAAATAAAAAAAAAATAAAAAAAATAATAAAAAAAAAAACCTCTTAACAAGTTGGTCCTCTTATCCCCAATCTAGGACAACAATAGTAGAACTAGTGAGACTACTTTGGTGCCATAAGCAATTTTTGAGGAAACCCCAGCACAAATAGACAAGTGACTCCCCTAAACGCCACTAACATCTGGTGGACTAATTATCCCATGAAAAAATTCTCAAATACTAGGACTTTTGTGAGTAACTAACCACCTTACTAATACTTCCTCCATTCCCCTAATATTGCACCATAGGGGTTGACCACGGATTTTAAGAAGAGATGAGAGATGGAGAGGTATAAAGATAGGGACCCATGTAATGAGGAAAAAAAAAAGAACGAGAAAAAAATGTACTAATAGGGAAATGTTGTAATATTTGTGAAACTTCCGGAAATGGTAATTGTTGCAATATTAGGGGAATAGAAGAGGTACAAGTTTGCAAATAACTATCTTATATTATTTTTTTTGAAAAAAAAAAAAAAAAAAAAAAAAAAAAAAAAAAAAAAAAAACCTACCTTTTAAGGCTTATATATATACAATTTGTTGTTGCTAAACAAAAATCATCCAAATTTCCGTTAAATTTGTGAGGTTAGTAATGGGCCCCACTTATAGAAAGTCGGATGATTTCCATTTAAAGGTAGTACAAACAACAAAAATTGTATATATGGTAGATATTTTAAAATTTAAATTTATAAGGTAGTTATTTGCAAAAGTTGAGTTAGTTAGTTCTCTACAAAAAATTTATACCAGAACTACACAATCCATTATAAGAAGGAAAAATGGAAATTAATAATCCCACCTTTGCCTGTTGTGCTCAAAACAATCCCACCTTTTCGAATTTCCAAAATAATTCCACCTTTAACCCTCATCTGCTCAAAATGAGCCTTTTAACCTACAACTTGTTTAACAGGTTATTTTTTTTATATTTTTTAATTTTTTTTTTTTTTTTATAATCTCTCACCAGCCACCACCGCACCAGCCACCATCTCCCCTTTAACAAGCCACCACCTCCCCTTTAACCACCACCGCACAGCCACCACGCACCTCCCCTTTAACCCCACCACCTTCTTCTCTCTCCTAACCTCAACCACCAGCACTACTAACCACCACCACCTCAACCCCAGCACCACTAACCCAACCACCTCAACCCCGACACCCTAACCACGACCACCATTTACCACTAACCACGACTGTCCACGACAACTACTAACCACGAACCATGACCACCACTAACCACTAGCCGCCGATAGCCCAGATCTCCCCTTTGTCAAAGCCCTGAAATTCGATCTTACCAACGAAATACAACCGCCCTTAAACCCCCTAACACCAACCACCCCAGCCGCCCCGAAATACCGTTCCCTGAAACCCGATCTCCATTCAACCCGAAAACCCGATCTCACCCACGAAACCCGATCTCCATTCAACCGCCCTGAAACCCGATCTCCATTCAACCCGAAAACCCGATCTCACCCACGAGCCCCGATCTCACCCATCTTTAATCGAAAATGGATTCGAATTTTAATTTGCTGCTGCTAATGATAATGGTGGTTGCTTTCGTTTTCTCGAGCTTTGAGTGTGAGCTTCCATGGCGGATTTGAAGAGAGAAAGTGAGGAGAGAATTGTAAGTGGCGGATTTGCGGTGGCCGGTGGGTAGGGAGGCCGGGATTAAGGTTGCAATGGTGAGGAAACCGGGAAAGGGAGGTGGGGAAAGGGGAGGGTTGGTGAGGTGGTGTCTGATGCGGTGGTGGGGAGTTGGGGAGGGAAGATTATTTTTGTTTTTTTTTCAATTAAAAATATTAAAATTGTACCAATCAGAAGGTGACACGTGGCAAGTCACCTGCTAAAATAAGTTACCCATTTCACAAATCGGTAAAAGGCTCATTTTGAGAAGATGGGGGTCAAAGGTGGGATTGTTTTGGGAATTCGAAAAGGTGGATTGTTTTGACCAGAAGTGGCAAAGGCGGGATTATTAGTTTCCATTTTTCCTTATTAGAAGCCAAATCATAAACAATTCATCAGAAGGAATATTGGCAACTTCTAAACCCATATTTCTAAGGAAGCATACATAAGAACCACAAATCACTACAGATTGGAGTCTTTGTACATGCTATGCAGCTTACAGACCAAGTCACTAAGAGTACAAAAAAAATGAAGCACACGTTTGTGAACAGAATAAAATGATAGTACCAGCGACCCGTGTGGGTAGCCTTCCACTTTGCCCAGTATTTCTTCAGAAATTCTTTCTCCACATTTTTAAGTGGACTCGGGATGGCATTTCCAGCTGCATACCCCTTTAATGAAAAATAAATAAATAAATAAAAATAAAAATGTGAGCACCTTGTAATTAAATAGTAAAATCATAAAGAATCTTTATTATTTTACATACATCCATATAAATATATAGCACAGATTCACATCAGTTTACAGTCTCCATATTTTACAACCAGTGGCCACAAATACCCATTATGCAATAAGTTGCAAAGACTGGGCAAAGAGTTAGAGGCTAAGTTATTCCATTTACCATACTTTCATTTTCCACTACAGACTTCTCAGGTAAATAGAGCTACAGAAGAATGCGCTTCAAAATATCTAGTCTTCATTCAATTTATACCTCTATTTTAAAACAGGGAGTTGAAAGGACATGTGTCCTCTCCCTATTTTTTGTGATTAATTAAAAAAAAATTCGTTAATTATCATTCCTGTTTTTTTGTCTTTTTTTTTCCTTCCCAAACAACACTTCATTAATTATCATTCCGGTTCAGCCTGTCAAAAAAATCAAAAAAAAAAAAAAAAAAAACTGCTGCAAAATTCTCAAACAACGATATCTTCTTCAGTTTTTGTATTCAAAATTTATAAAGATATTGATTTACAATTGTACCCACTCTGAAGATTCACCAAACTCGAAAATTGACATGTACACAGATTTGATTTCGCTGAATTGAATAAATTCCATCCAGAAGGTTGTATTTGCGTCGGCATTGATGAGTATTTGTCAGTTTGTCACTGTATTGCTCTGCATTCATGAAGTTAGTCATTTTAATCACTTGATATAATTGCTGGAACAACGCAATTGCTTAATCTGAAGTCAAGGTGATAGCCTGATAGATAGTTGGGTATGCTTTTGCTTAAATTAGTTTATTTGTTTGTTTTTTATTGGTTCCCATGAATTAAAAATTTATTATTCATTCAACAAGATGTAAATTTTGTGGTTAATTCAGAAAAATATTTCGTATTTAGTTAATGATCAAGTTATTGGGTATTTTTTTTCATTTTGATTATCCGTGTTGTTTTGTTTTAATGGTTTCATTTTATCTCAGTTGAGAGTTTTTGTAATTCTCGATGATTCACTCGCAAATTTATTTTTTTTATTTGTATGTTCTGTTGGGATATATCTTCGTGGTGTTTTCAATATACATTTTCACGTGTCCCTCTATTATTGGTATACTTTTATTTATTTTTTTTAACATTGTTTTTATGGAGAATAAAAGTCATTTTACTAGTACAATTTTGTATAATACAATTTCATTTTACTATTGACTAATCTAGATATGAAACATAAAAAGTGTTCAATTCAATTTTTTTTAACTGAATAATGTTATTCGTGCATCGCACGGGTTAAATACTAGTTTTTATTTAAAAGGCTTTCCAAAAAAAACACAAAAATTTTTGGTAAGCAACAAGAAATGACCTATAATGTTCCTCAATTTCAATGTCACAGAACTCACACCACTTAATGCATTCAACACTTCTACTTATGAAGTGTAAGGTGTAACTGAATTAATAGAATAATAAATTTTATATGGACCTTAATAAAAAGAAGTAAGGGTAAATGGCTCCTCTAATAAAAATTATCTCTTAAAATTGTTAACAAATCAGAGACCACTAAATCAATTGATTTTTAAGACTAACTAGTAAGTTGCCTGTTATGGACCGAGTAATTGGGCCTCGATTCCAGCAACAGCCTATCCGGGTTTATGAAAAAAAGAAAGAGAGACAAGAGCAATCAGCAATTGCAGCAAACATTCACTTGATATTTTAAATGATAAAGATGCAAAAAATATTGTTGTTTACAGATAATTTACAGAATTATAAGAAGCATGAATAACTGTATTTAACTCCATAACATTTATGTTACTCTGTTGCAAAGACAAAGTAAATTAAAAAAATATATATATATAACTGCAAAAAATGAACCATGAAAACCAATTAAATATCAAGCTGTCGAAAACAAGTCGGCAAGAGAGAACAAAAATACACATTTTATTATTAAAATTACATAAGATAAAAGTGAATCTCTTACAAGTTACCTCAAGTGACCATCTGACATCTTCCACAGTAGGCCATATGATCAATGGTTCGCCCAAACCTAGGGTGGATGCATCAGCTGACAATCCAGATGACATTGAAGTTCTTAGCTCAGTCATCCACTTCTCATCCAGCGAACCAAGAGAGGAAAACTGAACCAAAACAAACACTGGTGAGAACGAAAGATGCCTGTGAAGCAGCCATTGTTATAAAAGGCAAAATTATAAAAATGCAAAACAGCACCCCCTAACTTCATGTAGGCAACAAACTACATGGCCCCATCTATCTCCTTAGTTTTATACATGCAATAGCCCCCCTCCCCTTCTCCCCCCACCCACCCCCAAACCAAGTTCACTTCCTCCCACCCCTAAAGCTAATAATTCTAGCAGATAAGGACCCTCTCTCATCTAAATTCTAATTACATCAGTGATCCATTGTAAAAAAGAATTATATAAAAAAATAAAAAATAAAAAAATAAGAAAAAAAAAACAAACATTTTTGCTGTCAATTGGTCACCAACAACCCAAATCATTGCAATTCCAGCCAAGCAAGAATCCATTATAACCATGACCAAAAAACAACTTTATTTAAGCACGGAGTAATGCCTCCAGTGAAGGCCACAACCTAGGAATAATAACAGTCTGCAGTGGGGGTCAGTCATCATAGTCGTCTACGAAAATGACGGGGGTTTCAGGCAAGGCATCAATCCCAAAACACCTATTTATCACCTTTCCCAATAGCTTCAACCATGAGTTCATGACTACATCAGAATTCCAAAGTATAATACACTTATAATTGGTTGATGTAGCCTGTAGATAATCGGTATAACCTAAGGTTACTCTGATCAAGATTATCTCTGAAAACTTTTGGAGAATTTGGAATAGGGCTCATCAGTTCATAGCCATAGCAGATTAGAAAGCAACAAAAACAGAGGGGAAGAAAAGACAGAAGCAAAGGTGTGAGGAAAGGAGAATAGATCTTCTTACATCAAACATTGCATATCAATAAATCATCTACTCTTGAACAACGCCTATTATTAATAAACTAACAGCTATCTGCTCTTTCTCGCTCTATATGTAATGAAGTTACTAAGAACCAAAAAGAAAAAGACCGCTGCACTGGATGTACTTCATACCAGATGACCACACTTCTACTCCTCAGGCCTCCAAAATTTATTTAAGCCCCCCCCCCCCCCAAAAAAAAAAAAAAAAAAAAAAAAAAAAAAAAAAAAAAAAAAAATCTCAAATATTATTGAACCTCCAAACAAGAATGATAACTGATGGTCTACGAGATTAATTTCTCTTAGAGGACACATTGCCATCTTTATGTAATCAAATCTTTAATGACTGATTCACAACTTACCCAATATCAACTAAAAAGTACTTTAGAAATTAGATGCACCAGCATGAATCAAAGCTTCAAAGAAATTAGTTGACTAACAATATGATCAGGCATTACCTGATAAATTAAAGGAGATTTCTTAAATTCGTCGTCAAAAGTGCATTGCTCTAGGATAGAGCGTAGTTTCATATGACCCCACTTCTTTAGACTGGATCCGGAATGATATCCTGGAACTGATGCAATTAATCTGACCTGGAAGAGCAAATACAAAATATTGTAACAATTTGAACATACAATTCAAGTTGGTTAAAGTTTCCCGTTTTGTTCAACTCCTTAAAGTTGGTAACAATTCCTCTCTCATCCATTTTCGGTGAAGATTATTTAAACTTTCGCCCGTCTCAACCCAATATGAACAAATATATCTCCGTCTTTTTCTTACATAACCCCACATATAATATTCTCTTCTTTTTTTTTTTTTTTTTTATCCCACTTACAAACCATCTCTCATTCTCTTCTACTTTTTCTTTTACATGACTCACTTGCTAGTTGCTACACTCTCCTACCCTAATTAACCTTTGAGCAAATAGTAATTGTAATCAAGTCAAAGGAACACAATTTACAGAAGTTGTATACATGAAATGTACGTAAGGGAGAGGATTTAGGAACATTGGGTGATAAAAAATACTTAGGAATCATTGTAGATACATTAAGTGAATTATTGCATATACATCAAAGGATAATTGAGCATACATCAAGGAACCATTGAACTCCGTCCGAGATTTTTTTTTTTTTTTTTTTTTTTTTTGGTACTCATGCAGGTTAGACTATTGTTTCTAGGTGAGTTGGTGGATGTAGATATAAGGAGTATCAAAATAAGAGAGATAGAGTAAAAAGGTAGGTGTGCAAAATGAAAAAGGGTAGATAAAACAAGAGAGGATGAGTGTAAAAGTGTAAGAAGGTTGAGATGGTAAAAGGTGTTTCCCATATATAGAATAAAGTAGAAGTGGTAAAACAAACAACCAAAAAAAAACTCAAAACAAAAAGTAGGAAAGGAAAAAAAAAATACAAGGGAGTAAATAAATCACATATTCTTTTAGCAGTACCAGATACAAATTAACTTTCAAAAACAAGTTATCTGAACATAAGAAATACCACCAGAAACTAGAAGTCATTAAGCATTCAAAGGGAAACAACTATACCGCTGCATTTTCATAATTGAACTTCTTAAAGAAGGAAGCATTTATTTTCACTCTACCAAGGGCTGGCAAACTGGCAGTAAATTCTGGCAACTGTAAAAATACAATCAATGGTTTAGAATAAACAGCAGCCAGAAGAATATCAACAATAATTGGTAAAGAAAAGTGGAAGAAGATATAGAATTTGAAAAAGGATGTTGTACATCCATTTGCTATAACTTTTACACATACACATACACATACACATACAAATAGTAATCTGTAACAACAAAACATATAAAAAAGGAAAAATTAGAAAAAATAATCCCAACTTTGTCTAATTTATGTAGAATAATCCCAACTTTCGTTAATACTGGAATAATCCGAACTTTGGGGGGTCTTCTTTTTCTTCAATCCCAAACCGGTCAACCAAAGTAAATGACCTATTATATCAGGTCACTTGACACGTGTCAAGTCCTGATTGGTCTAAAAAAAATTAAAAAAATAAATAATAAAAAATAAAAAATAAAAATAAATAAATAAAAAATAAGAAAACCACCCAGCAACCCCTTCCCCACCGCAGCATGCACCTGACCACCAACATAACCTAGCCCGCCGCCCCACCTATCCACCCTAACCTCGACAACCACAGCCAGGCCGCCGCATCTCCCCCGCCCTTTGAGTCGCCTTTTTCCCCTATCCCCGAAACCCCACGCAACCGCCTAAATCACCAACCCCAAAAACCACCGTTACCCCAAAACACTCCTCTCCCACCTCGAAACCCTAGCGTCTAGGGTTTTCGATGGTGGAGGAGGAGTGTTTTGGTAGTTTTCGGGAGTGGGCTGGTGGCTGTGAGGGATTTTGAGAGTGAGGTTGGTGGCTTTCGGGGTTTTCGAATCTGGTGGCTTTTGGGGTTTTCGAATCTGGTGGCTTTTGACAGGGGTGCCGGAGTTTCGGAGAGGGGGGATGGTGGTTTGGCTCGGAGCGGCGACTTTAGGGGTGGGGGAAGGCTGGAGGTCCGGCGTGGGAGGTGGCTGGCCTGGGCTGGTGGCTGGTGGTTGGGGCTTTGGCCGGTGGTTATGGTTTTTTTTAATTTTGTTTTTAATTTGTTTTTTTTTATTTTGTTTTTTTATAAATATTTTTAGCTAATTAATTTGTGACACGTGTCACTTTAACAAAAAAATAATAATTAACCCATTGAACCGGTTATCGGTATTTGGGATTGAAGAAAAAGAATACCCCACAAAGTTCGGATTATTCCAGTATTAATGAAAGTTGGGATTATTCTACATAAATTAGACAAAGTTGGGATTATTTTTTCTAATTTTTCCTATAAAAAATAATATCAAACTTGAATGCATATTAACATCATAACAAACAACATTAATTTTTACCTCACAGCAAGTCACAAGATATCTTCATAGTTAAAAGGAAAATAAATTTTGTAGGCTTGTTCTCTTCAACTTATTTAAGAAACTGATCACTTATTCTTGTCAATAATAGATTAGATCAAATTAAACCGGAAATATATAGATCAGACGACGACGACAACAAAGCCTTAGTCCCAAAATAAGGATTCGTGCGATATAAATAAAAGGACATAGAAAAATCATCATTTAAAAGAGTTTGGAAAAGGTGAGTAAAATGAGTGAACGAAAGAGCATTTAAGAAAAATTAAGGGAGATTTAGAAAAGAACCAAGAATAAAATTGAAGAAAGTTTTAAAAGAGTGGTTAACATGTTGATATAGAAAACATAAAGGTTTAAGAAAACTTTAGCAAAGGAAAACAATACAATTCATAATACATGGGTGGGCTAAAACTAAATTAATACGAAAATAAATTTAGAAAGTATATATAATCACGACACGTCATTGACGTTAATTTTCTCCCTCCACACCGCCCTATCCAACACCATATTTTCCTCAATCTCCAAAGCACTTGTGTCACTCTCAATCACCCTCTTCCAAGTTTTCTTAGGTCTTCCCCTACCTCTTGCAATCCAAGACTTGGCAATTTTTCAGGCCTCCTTACCAAAGCGCCACTTGGTCTCCTTCTTACATGACCAAACTATTTTAAGTGATTCTCCCTCATCTTGTACTCAATCGATGTAACCCCTACTTTCTTCCTTATTATCTCATTCCTACACTAATCCTTTCTTGTATGACCAACTATCCATCGCAACATACGCATCTCTACCACATACATCTTTTGCACATGGAAATGCTTTATGACCTAACATTTTGAACATTTTGTACCTGTTAGAGCTCTCACAACAGAAATGTGGCTTCTACTAGATAATATGAAACCGATACCTCACAAAGATAAATAATATTTTGGGATAGACAAATAAACACTATGAAGGAAATAATAAATATAAGAAAATAAACTTCTTAATGCTAATCAACTTTTGACATGAATAAATGATTACTATATATTTCTGCATTATGATTCTACACATTTATAATGAATGCAAAGCTAATTAAACAATGGTTCACATTGTTTCCCTAACAATCACTAATATTGTTTCGTGTAATTAGCAATAACTAAACAAAGGTAAACATCCCTATTATCCTCCTTGTATTGCTCTCATCCTATTCTTTCCTTAAATTTCTCACAGTACCATATAACAAAGTAGGCCTTATTGTCGTTCAGAACTAACCTGTTTTGATCCTATGAGCAGATTAGTGGCAAGCAGCTACTTTCTTCAAGGCATGCACATCCTTGCAACATTCGGCACGTCTCACCAGTAGCTACTACCTTAGTTGGTTTGCACATCCGCCAACTTCGACAGACCATTTTCTCCTTTTCTCCATCTTTTTATTTGGGAGTCAGAAATACCCCTTTAGCTCATACAAATATACTTTTACACCCTTTTTCACTTAGTTTATGCATGGAACTCCTCTTAATTAGCTTAGATTCCCTTAAACTCAATTTTTGTCAGTTCTCTTAATTTCAACAATTTTTCCAAATTTGAAGCTTAAACTTTAGCAATTTATTTCCACTTTAGTAAATTTTCTGATTTTATATGTTTTGTGAATGTCAATTTTCTCTTAATTCTTGTTAATTGTTCTTGCATGTTCAATCTACCTCTGTTCCATTACTTTTCTCAACTTATTAACTTAATGGTGAACGTTAATCTTACTGTTAGCACGTTGTCATAGCCATAGATTGTGAGTAGTCCCTTAGCTAAGGGTTGGGTAGAGGCCCAACCTAGCCATGAGTAGATTAAATTAGGATGTTTTCATGTTCTAATTAGGTTGATGTTTGTTTATTCATGAGTAAATTGTTTCCACGTGTATTTTGGTGGCAACTTTATGCTCATGTGGTTAACTCTCAGGCTTGCATTGAGAAATAAAGTTTGGTTGAAGCTTCTCTTCTGCAACTAGACTATATTTCTTTCATGATAGTGGTTGCCTAGTTTCAATGACTAGGAATCTAGTATGCTTTAGTGTAGCAATTAGGTGAAAAATAACAATTGTTTGTGTTTCATGCTATCTTGAAACAACCAAAAGACTGACTTGAGTTAGAAATCCACTTTCTATCATTAAGACTTAGTGTCTTATCATGTTTATTGTTTAGTCAGGAAACTATTTAGTATTTTAACTTTGAAAAAAGGCAAGTTCCCATTCTATCACCCAAGTTCGATCTTGTCTCCACTTAGCATTTATCTCCCATAATATCACCTCCCTAGTTTATTTCAATTGCGAAAAAGTAATTAATTTATCAATAAATCAATCTTGTGACTGAGTTAACTTATAGTTGTTTTACACTTTCTGTGTTCTTATTAGTAATTACACGTGGATACGATCCTTTGCTTGTCTTATACTCGTTGTTTGGTAGTTAGGTAGTGTGACTCCAGGGTGTTTGCCCAACAATCGAATATTAGGCAGCTTCAAAAAGGGGGTTTCATCTGATTCAATTGATTTTCATTTGGGGTAGGTTGAGTTTTAATGGAGGAAAGACAAAAGTTTGAAGAGATGATTATGAAAATGATAATATCCGAAGATGTTAGGGTTGTTGGATGGTGATGTGTGGCAGTTGGGAAGGAGAAAAGGAAAAATCTCGGACAAACCAAAGCCACATGCTTAGCAAGTGAGGGTCAAAGCCGAAAATTGACAATCAAAGGTCAAAACGAGGCAAAAAGTCCTTTCTCACAACAAACTTTTCATTCACAATACTTTTTTTTTTTTTTTTGTATTAAGTGACAATTTTAAAAAAACTGTCTACCTTACATAGATTTTTTGAATTTTCCTTAATTAGCAGAAACAAAGTAGTTTTTAAAATATTGTACATTATATGGTACGGCTTTCCATTAGCGAACTCATTACCAAGAAATTACCATTGAAACATTCTAATTTCTCTTGCCTCTATGATTTATTTTACTTCCACTCCTTTTACATCATCTCTTTCTGTAACTAACTTCTAATGTGTTCCTCCTTTCGGCTAATCATACCTTCCTTTTTCTAGCATCATAATAGAATCCATAACCACATGTAAGTAATCTACTCATCTCTGATTCCACTTCGTTTGAATATGTAAACTTCATTTTCTTCCATCATCTCATAACAATGGCGACATCCAAAATATAACTACTAGCGACAAATGAACTATGCTTCTTAGGAAATGTTTAGATAACACCATCCCAAGTTGATATGCCAAAGTGCCAACACCTAAGACATAATCTTGTCAGCAGTAGAGAGTAAATTAGAAAACTAATCAGTTGAAAGCCCATAAACTCCTTAAACCTCTAGTCCTATACTTTATACGTACCAAAGGACATAAGTATAAAACTACAATTGTCACTCTTTCCAAATCCTTAATTTCAGTTAGATGATTAAACAAATTATATTTATAAGACAGAGTAGTTAAAAAAAAAAAAAAAAAAAAAAAAAAAAAAAAAAAAAAAAAACCTACGTAAACTAAGTCTCTCTCTCTCTTCGCTCTCTACATTTCTCTTAGTCAATGTCTTAATCCACTGTTTTCTTACACTACTCAATTTTACAAACCCTTTCTAAAAAAAAAATTAAAAAAAATAAAATTATTACCAAAAGGAGCATAATACAACAACTTTTTCAAACTTTCCTATGATAAAGAGCCTACAACACTAGCGTAAAAACAATAATAGAAAAACATATAATGGGAGTAGTGTTGGTCCACGATCTAAATATAAAACAGAGCAAGTAAAACACTTTCCACTCCAACAGAGATAAGGAAAAACAAATTAAGAAAAATAAAATACTCCCTTAGTTTTGATTATTTTATTTCCATTTTGATCTTCAAATTTCCCAATGCACATGTGATCATTAATACATATAATGATACAAAAGTATAATAATTATAAATTTAATATTTAGAGAATATTCATTGTGGTAGGTACAATAATATTCTAATTAATTGTTTTATATATTATTGAAAAAAACTATGGTCAAAGCATGTGAATATAGTGTCAAACTCTAACAATTAAATGAATTAGATAACCAAAACACATAGTGCACAAAATATATCAAGTATTAATACCTTTAGAGCCTGTAAATAATCAATAAGATCACTTTCAAAAGGACTTCCCTTGCTTGTCGCATTCTGGTCTTTCCAAGGAAAGTCTTGCATCCACAAGCCTTGACTTTTATTGTTCCAATCAACATGAATCAAGTTTGCCGAATGCACAATGACCCTCAGACCCTGAGGATATACAAGAAGCATAGCCTTCGAATGGTGTGTCCCATATGAGATAGGTAATGGTGGTTTATGCAAAATCCAATCGCTAGGCTTGTTCCTCTACAAAATAAAAGTAAAAATATCTAATGCTCAATAAGTATATCAATCAGAAATTCAGAGTTAGAAAGTGAGCACATCTAAGATAGCTGAGTCTCAATATTAATCCACACAACACACCTTCATGTATTCAACTGTACCGTCACCTTCTCCATGTACAATCAGCACCTGAGGAACTTTTCTAAGCATTGGGCATGCTACAGAGGAAACCAGAAGTGGAGACCGTAAATTGTGTCAAGAAGTGCAATAAAAATTATCCAACAATTATAAAGGAGCACCTAAGAACGAATTACACGAGCTCTATTCTAAATCCAAAGCAGCAGTTAAGAAGAAAAGCACTTGACAGTTGAAACAGGGAAAGAATAGATAAGATTCTACAAGCACATAAAATTAGAAAAACCTACAGCTACAATCATGACAGCAATAATGGTCACAGAATTACTGAGACAGCATCACAAGGGTATTATATTCTGTCATTGTCAGATTGGTCACAACAGCATTATTTGATAAGTTGAAATTTCTTCACTTGAACATTACTCTTATATTTTATTTGCTTTCTATCATACTTTACCATATACTTTCCAGCACCTTGTTATTTATCTAAGAATTGAGTTGTAGTCAACATTTATAGTAACGAGTGTAAGCTTGAAAGTGTGCCTTTTAATAGTGTCAATTGCATAGATATTGGCTTTAATAACGAGATAAAATAGCTAGAGTGGTAATATAGCGGCCTATGCTGGACTTTGCACTGTCTTTGTAAGACAAATGATAAGGAATAGCTTTTCGAAAGAAGGAAAGTTTAAACTCCATTACAAATCTGCCTTAATGTAACCAACGTATCAAACAACCTTTTATGTATATTCAAGCCCACAAGCACCCTCAAAATTATGAACTACCTCCGTTTCATATTATTTGCAACTTTGGTGTAGTATTTGTGAGATATAAAAAAAAAATCCCAAGTTGCAAATAATATGAAACGGAGGTAGTATATAAGATAGCAACTGCACACAGTAACACAACTAAAAATTACTGGAAGAATGCTGAACTATTTAAATTCTGGGCCTCCTCAAATCCCAAAAAAAAAAATTCAATTTGCATAGAATTACATATAACAGTATATAGATCGAAATGGTGACAACCCATAAATAAATTAACATAAATACAGCATAGAAGCAAAGAGACAACCATGCATATTCAAATATAAAGTCCCACACCACATCATAATATAATATCATATGCTCTATGTGACCCAACTCTATTATAAAAGATACATAACAAACACGCAACCTGTCAGTATCTTAACCTTCATTATACATGATATGACAAAATGCACGGTACAAGATGTGATTTCACAAGGTAATTACCCGATAACAGCCAGTCTATGTCCACCATGTAATTTGAAAGTACAGCAACAATCACATCCCCCTATAGGAAAGACCAGTAATCAATCAACCAGATCACTTCATGAAGCATGTTTCCAGCTTTAAGATATATTCTGATTAAGATATGTTCCAGTTCAATTTGCATGCTAAGATAGATGAAGCATCAAAATAGACAGCAAAAACAGATGTACCTAAATATATTTTCATATTGTAACAATAAATAGATTGTTAAAAAAAGACACGCTAGCTTAAATACTGTTGAATTATACAAAAAATTCAAACCAGGTGGTCAAAAACATCATAATAGATAATTTTATTGATCAAAAAACAGAGAACAGTTGAGGATCTTATCCTGAGATCTCCAACGTATTCCTCAAACATAGGGCAATATAAATATATTCACACCTAATAACAACCTTGATCAAGTGTATTCTAGCAATGTCATGTCAAATATACAAATATGCCTTTCATGCAACCCATTATCTGTGCAGCTTCCTAAATGATGAATAACAAGTAAAAAGATCCAGGAGAGTTTAAACCTCACAATCATAAATTACCTCAATCACATTGTCAATAGAAACACAAGAGGTGTTTGCCCATTCTGGTAACCCTTGCACTTTCATAAGGCGAAATGTTGAAGGCAGACTATCATTAGACACATGAAAATCACGTAGCGCCTCCTCAGTGTTCCTGGACACTGAATGATTCTGCCTATTAGATTCAACACTTACATTATCAATATTTTCTTTTACGTTTCTTCCAATCCTGTGTTGAAGCTGTACAAATACACAAAGCAAAAAAGCAGGTAAGAAAAAACTAACAAGTTCTACACCGCTTGCAATTTGCAGGTATAAATTTGTCAATCTTATTTATAAGAACTTCTATTAAAATCAAAAAAATAAGAGGGAGGGAGGGAGAGAGAAAGAGAGATAGTAAGAGTCCCTTATGTCAACCACTAATTAGCATAACGATGAGAAAAACTGAAGATTATCAAATTACAACCATAGTTTTGTCAATCTTTTGCAAATACCCAGCTATTGAACATGCATCCTTGGTTTTATTTTAGTTGACATGTTTTGACTTTCACAACTATTCTCACCAATTACTCTTACCACTTTGTTATTTATTCTTAAGATAAAGATAGTCCACTGGAAAACAAAGAGAGAAAGTCCACTTCACAAGTCCAAAGGAGGTTCCATCCCAAAACCATATGGCAATAGGAGGAGTAGCCCCTTAGCCTTATAAAGTGTTTAACTCTCTCTTCTTCAACCAATGTGGGGCACTTACATATGGTGATATTTGAGAGATCTATTCAACATTATAAATATTTGAAGATGTATTTATTAAAAGTTACACATTGACATAGGCGCCTAAAAGAAATGTGACAACTAATATGAAATGGAGGAAGTAAGATACTATGCTCAAAGGCAAACAAAGTTTACATCCATGGATAAACACTGATAAAATAGATAGCAAGTACCAATAAAGGGAGCAATACATATGAGGATCCAAATAGCAGAGAATACCGTCAAGTGACCCGCAGAAGCTCCAAAGTTCAAGTCTTCTCGTGCTCTCTTCCTACCATCTCCGAGATTTGTCCGTTCCCTAGCACCTTTAATCCCTTTGCTAACAGCATCAGTATTTCTCTGGTTACTTAAGGCTACATACTTAAAATAATGACTCCCTGGTATCAATTCTAAGATATCACCATAATTAACAGAAGCTTTTTCTCCAGAATTCAAAACCTTCCTCTGACCACCAGAATTAACCACCACAGGATTCATTCCTTCCTGCCAGATCATAAGTAAAGACCTAAGATAAAAATGAGATACTCCGTACATTGTTACTTGGACAAATTATTTCCATTTATACAAGCCATAATGATGATATTAATCCTTGGAATACACAAACAGTCTCACAATAGTACATCCCTATTAAACAAAGAGATATAAAGAACATCAGCCAACATAACTTGAACTAACCCTTCAAACACCTCACAATACATCTTGAATCAGGCACAACTAACCAAGTTCGATTAGCCGACTTTCAAGAACTTATCAAACCACTCAAACTTCATTACTTCAGGCTTAACGCTTGGTTTGGATAGCAAAGTAGGAAGGAAAATAAGGGGAGGGAAAATGGAGGAAGGGAAGGGAAAAGAAAGGGAGGGGGAGGTGAGCTCCATTTTCCCTCCAAATCTCTCCAATTTTGGAGAGATTATGGTTATTAAAGAGAGAGGGAAAATGGATCCCTCCCTCTCCTTCCCCTTCCTTCCCCCAATCTTTTACCCAAACAAGAGATTTTGTCCCCCTCCATTTCTCTTCTCTTCTTTTCCTTCTATTTCTTCCTATCCAAACAAAGCGTAAAGGAAAAAGCATTGCCCTCAAAATTCTAACAAATTGTTGGCAGCTAATGCCAAACATTACTAATATCATCACTACCATTTCATATAAGAGACAGTTGAGGACATGAATCGCACTCTCACCTTGATTCAAGGTATCACGCAACTGTATTCTTTCATGTTAACTTTCTTTCCTAGTTTTTATATTGCATATAGACACTTCTCATAACAAATTCTAGCTTTCTCAGTGTGAGAGTCCACTCTGCACTTGGCGGTTCTCTTTATATTAAAAGACTATGCTTCGCGTGTTTGTACACCAAAAATATCGACTATTAGCTTCCATTTAATACTGTATACTTGCGCAAACAAACATAAATTTCCAACAGAAAAAAAAAAAAAAAAAAAAAAAAAAAAAATCAACTCCAAAATAAACAAAAAACAATTCTAAAATTCAACGAAGTCATACAAGTTCTATCTAAATTCAACTCGAATTGCATATCACAAGAGAAATTCTGGCAAAATGCACAAAATGAAACACACCAAAACCACACATTACAATAGAAATTCATGCAAAATACATAAAATAAAACAAACTAAAATCTCAAAAAATTTAGGAAGTTCAAAAATTATACCACAAGCAAATCAGCACAGCCATCAGAAGAAGCAGACAAAATGAGGTGCTTGCGACTAAGTCTTTTATCAGTCACCGGAACATTACTACGGCCGATCACATTATCACCTTCAGAAACCGGCAATTCCGGCAACGATTTCTCCTTCTCCAAGCTCTTATTCAACGGAATCAAAATTCCTACCTTCACACAGAAAATCAAGCACAAAAATGTGTTAAAAATTGAAATTAAGAGAGAGAAAGAGGAAACGTTATAGAGAGAAATACCTGAGAAGACACCATTGAAGATGAACAAGAAGCTCCGAGAGGAGCGGAGAAGAGAGAGAATGGAACTGGAACCCTAGGAGAGAGAGAGAGGAAATGTAGGTGAGAATTGAGAGTGGAAATTCCGGCGAAGTGAAGTGAAGTGAAGCGAAGCGAAGCTTATGAATATGAAATCATATCGTTGCCGGTAGAGTGGCAAGGTTTTATAATCGCACTAGCATTCTAGCAAGGAAGAAGCAATGAGTTTGAAATACTTGGGTTGGGGGTGTTGGGGCTGTTTAGTGTTTTGTGTATTCGTTTGTCAGGCTTTGCGCCTTTATATTGCGGCAGGTTTGTTTTTGGTGCAATTTGGTCTATCAGTTGGACACCGTGAGGCAGCTAAACACATAGACGCTAGTGTGTTACGAGCACGATAAATAAGTCAACAATAAAATTTGAAAAAAAAAACACGCAAATGTGCACACAATGACACAAGCGTAAAATTCACTTTACATTTTTCATTTATAGAGATGAGATTAACAAAGAAGTATAATCATATGGAATAAGCACAAATTTTACTGATGAAAATTATTAGTCATTCATCAGTGACTCAAGTTATTAGAGGCAGAGAATTTCTTATCAGACTCTACCACCATTAAATTTCTGGTACAATGCCAATGTCGCAATATGGCATGCATAATTTTTTAATAATCAAATTAAATTAATTGCTCTTTATTTACTATGAGCATGAAATAATTAAACTAATACATAGTATTATTTTAAGCTAATTATATCGTTCAACAAACTGTATTAATTTTTCTAGGGGATTGGATTGGCAGCATGCATAGGGTGATTAACGTCTTTAAAAATGATTTTAACAAACTTTTTACTTTTACTATGTTGTCAAAACAATCTTTTATGCTCGACTGAAAGATCAACTTTGATTTGCCAAAGTGGTATTACCCAAACATGGGGCACCAAAGAATCTTTTGCAAAAGTCTTGATTATTGATCTGTGAAAATAATCAAAATTATGAAATGCAGAATACTTGTTTGCTTAAGATGAAACTCTCCAGCTATAAGAGCCACAACCTGTCAACTGTAGACAAAAACAGAATACTTGTTTGGTATATGCCAGTGTGAGTATATTCATCACAATGTCTTTTGTAAAAATGCAATATCTTGTGTTCATATTACTAGAATCAAAATTGAAGACCTAAATGTATAACTATCCTATGTTCCCATTGCCGGTGTGAGTATGTTCTAGATCTCGTTCCATGTTCTTAGATGGAGCAAGTCTTTTACACAAAGATCTACACTCGAATTACAATTTCATTAAGAAAATCCCATCCCATTAATTTGAGCGCCATTTCCTGCCCCTTCCACTGAGAATGGTTTGCATCACTGAATGAAAAGAATGTCATCTCGGCATATTTTGGAACAAAATTGTCAGCAAAAGAATATCAGCTATCTTCGACGCTTTGATTCTCTCCGCATCTCCGACACGTAGCTGTCCATGTTGGATTTCACCCACAGTTTTCTCTTAACAAGATCATCCTTAGTCGCTTCATCTATGAACCAGCAACACAAAACCTCTATCAGAACTCAAGTATATGATACATGCAGAACAAAAATGCAAGGATGCACAGAGTTTCAAACAGGCAAACCAGAGTGATCCCATTGAGCTAATAGAAGTATTTCAAGAGACAAATTAAACGACTGAAGCGATAAAGCAAAACTTTCAGATGAGAAGATCCAAGACCATGGAACGGGACTGCAGTTGTTTTTGATGGAAAGGTCAGCTTTGGTGAGGTAATAGGCTAACAAGGATGATATCAGTATCAAACCTGAGCTACATCATGTCCAATAAACAGATGAGCCCTGATGAATCGAGATTTTAAATCAGCTTGCATATAAGAAAACCTCCTGGACAACCCAGTGAATCTAAATTCTGACAACCAAATTTGTCCCTGGGATAAAACATTCACTGCCCTCACATAAGACAAAACATTCACTGCCCTCACATAAGTTCAGGGGTAATTTTCTTTTCCAACAATAGAACAGAAAACAAATTTCCTAAGAGTAACCCAAAACCCCAAGCAAAATCAGCAATCAAACACCCAATTGGTTTTTTTGGTAATTGATAGACAATAAGCAAATAACTATTACCAAGATTCCTCCATGCATCAGCAGATGCACCAAGTGATCTAATTGTAAGGTATGAGGCATCTTCCCAAGAATATGGCGCTTTCTTAAAGGTGTATCTCCAAAACCAACACCCGTGCCACAAAAGAAGCTGTGAGGACATTCACACACAATATGTTAAAATCAAGACAGAAAATATTATACCGGACGAAAAAACTCAATCTTTTCTGAGGAATATGTATGACCTTGACGAGAGTGTACGGTAAAAGGACAATTCGAACACAAATTAGGCCCCATACAGACGGATTTTCAGCTCCTGTAATTTGTAAATCAAGCTCTTTACTCAAATCCTCTTGTACTGTCCTGCGATTAAACCCATTCGTATGATAGGAATTAGCTCAAGATCAGATCAATACGGCCAAAGACATAATATGAAATGAGGTCATGTACAAACTTGTTCATTTTGATATTCTTTTTCCTATTAGATACTCCTCCTGAGCGTTCAAGTTCCAATGCCCGTAGCTTATTTTTGTAAGCAGGTGTCTTCTTAACCATCTCTACAGCCTGCAGGAATTGGAATTCTATGTAAGCAACAAGAAAAGATCAAAATTAAGTCTTTTTAATATACTCATAGGCACTGGCCCATTGGAATATGAGAATACATAAATGACATGAAAAGAAACAAGCTAGAGACTTAGTTACATCACTTAAAGAAGGTTCATAGGAGAAATTCAGAAATACAGAAACAACGAACGTCATTATAACATTAAACACTCAAAGAAAATTCAAAGATCAACTTATTGCTCACTATAGTACCAAACCCAACTAATACAAAAGCAAAGATGGAAAATATACAACTGATGCTTCTATCCGACTTCAAAAGTATCACAATGAATTTTATCAGCTTAAGAATCAGTCATTAAGGAAGATTGCGATACGAAAGTTGTGTAGAATTGCTGGAGTACAGCTGTAAAGGATTGAACTAATCATACGTTAGGCAACGTAGAAGATATTTAAATATAAAATTGAAATGGATGATAAAATTCTTGCCACAAAAGAAGCTGTGAGGACATTCACAAACAATATGTTAAAATCAACACTGCAGCATAAAAAAACCATAACCTGTCCTAAACTATCAGCAATTTCAAAGTACCTTGATTAAAGTTCATTGATTAAATGTCGTAAAGAACCCTAGATTCTACAATACCTACGTGATTCTACTTTATTTCTTCTTCCATATCTGTTACATTGTCAAAGACTCAAAAAGACAAAATCTTATACCAATTGCACCCCTTATAATATGCTACTGCAAAAAATAAGATGAAATGACAATACATGGTTTTAGTATAGCGTACACAATAATACCTGATTGTACCTTGTCCACTGATTTACATATTGCAATCCAGAGAGAATAAGAAGAAGACCAACTAGAACAGCTCGAGGATCCTGTCATTACAGAGTACCACATCATCAGAAGCTAGATATAACATACCAATCCAAATCTAGAAAACCTTGATGACTTAAAAGTAGTTCTTACCGTCTTGTGACCATAGTAGGCTTGGTAGTATCTTGCAGTATTATAGAAAAACTGGAACATCAAGGAGACAAGCACATGAGGTTAGAAACAATAATTAATTTACTTTAAAAACATATTAATTTAGAATAAAGATTTTCAGAACACAGATGCTTCAATTGAGTACGGCAATCACCGACACCCATCAGCATCCAGACAGTGCATAGCATAGCATTGCAATGCAATATCTTTAAAGTTTAGCAGTAAGCAGAAATGGAGACAGCCACCTCTAACCAATTAATTATGAACCGATAATTTTTCTATAACACGTAGCAATGAAACAATCAGACAAGAGAGAACACAACCATTCACAAGTGTATAATATAACTTAATATTCAGCCCATGCAGTAACTTTTACCATGACTTAACGACACAACTAGATCATCATCAGCACAAATTAAAGCCTCTAAGTTCTCTTTGTAATTGGAAAAAGAGTGGAATACAAATTACCTCCTCTGGATGCTCTATAGCATAATCATACTGTGAACGTGTTTCATCATCTTTCAAAATCTGCAGACAATAAGGCAAGCATTCATCCGAAGTACATAAGTCAGTGAACAATACTGGTACTTAACAAGTTACATAAATACTTAAAAAAAGCATTCTTGCTCTTGGACCTTACTCAGGCTCTCCTTTCCAAATTCTTTATATAATAAATTAATAAGGGACAGTGATTCCTAAATAATTTCCAATTCGTTAACATGCTCTCACAGTAGTCTGGCTACTCGCACATGTTTTTGCCTAGTGTCTACTGATGGAATTCTCAATCAAAATTTTAGCTTATTACATACATAATGACAATGACACGTTTCTCCATTATCATACAAACTACTTCATGTTTATAACTATAATATACCAACTGACATAGTCTCAATGTTTTTGTTCTAGATTTGAACAGATTCATTTGTTCAAGAAAGAGTGTTTTATCACCTTGGTAAATTCAATGGCTATAAACTATCCAAATTAAGCTATAAATATTATAGAATTCTCATTACCAAAAACGTGTATAATATATTAGAAACCAACAGTACATTATATTCACTCTTACATTCATACAAATTAATCGAGTGTTGAGTCTGTTGACATCTTTTGGATGCACAAACATGGAAAAGTATCATTTACATTTTACATAATTTCACACAGTCACTCTCCATCAAACACCCCGTCAAACAACACCAGGAGTATATCCAAATTAACCACGTCATTCTTAGTTTTAGGGGATTGACCTTTCACTTTCCACTAAGAAGCAAAAGCTTTAAACCCGTGTCATTAATATAAATGTGAACACAACATCAATCTCTATCCCTTCAAATAATTAAGATTCCTGATTCCATTTAATCCAAAAGCCTGCGTATCGTCGTATCCAGAATTTTATTAACCAGGCTGACAGAGTGGCCCACACTAAGAACCAAGCATTGCCAAGTATCATTTTCATTGTCCAAAGATATTATACTCACAAAACTAAGCTCTAGTCTAGGTACAAATTATTGGCAAAACCTTCCTACTTGATTGAGCACTAAAACCTCAAAATCTAGTCAGAGAAAGATAGCCACTATACTTCGCACAACCAATGAACTAGTGCATTTGACCTCCTTTTTTTTGAGCGAAGGGGATGTATAGGGAACCTAAAAGGAAAATGGCACAAATGGGATTTGATCCCATTCCGTAGTTAGCAGGTAGCAGTGTAGCACCCAAAAATGTTGCTAACAAAGCTAACTGATATTCACAAGGACTATTTTATTTCAGCTATCAAAGATTACCAAAACTAGTCTTCCCTTTATTCCTCCCCTCCCCTCGCATCGCCCCATCCAACAACAGCATTAACATATTCAATAATTTCACATAGCTTTCATACATGACGATTGATGTGAACAACAACAATTATTCTCTATCTTCAAATACAAAAGATTCAATTTAATCCAAAAGCCCATGTAATCAGCACGTCATTAACCACATGAACCCACATTCTTCAGTTCTTCTCTCACTTACTGATCCCCATACAATGGCAAGCATTAAGCTCTACCAAGTACCAAATGCTAAATTTCGTTGCCTGAAGAAACAATACCACACTCTCCTATAGACCTATCGGCACAGACTATTAGCAAAACTTTCCTACCTAATTGAACACTAAATCTCAATATCTCATAAATTCTAGTCAGAGCAAGCAAGATATTACACTTGTGCTCAAAAGCCAGTGAACAATTACATTTGCATTTCTTGTGCTCGAAAGCTACAAAGGACAATGACATAGACGGGATTCAATCCCGTGTCATAAGTACCCCAAACTTTACCCACTAAACTAGCTAATATCCACATCGAATATTCCAATTGTACATCAAAAACGAAAAAGGCATTTCAATAAATCAAGTAAAGATTTCTTAAAAAAAAAACCATCAATCATACCTCGTATGCATTTGCAACCTTTACAAACAATTTTCTAGATTCTGGGTCTGGATTCTTATCAGGATGGCTACAAATAAATTCCAAAAAAAAAGCAAAATTAATCAAAATTTGAATCAAATCAAACTAAATAAAAGCAATTAATTCATCTAATTACTTACTATTTCAAAGAGAGCTTGTAATAAGCTTTCTTGATTTCCGAAGCGTTCGCATTTTGAGAAACCCTAGAAAAAATTATACCAAAAATCAAGAAATTAATTCGCACTACAGAACAAAATAAAAACAAAAAAAGTAAGAGAAAAGGAGAGATTACCCAAGAAGATCATAGCAATCATCATCATCACAGTAGATGGAAATGGACGGTGTGATGAGCAGAAACAGTGAGAGTGTAAAAGTGAGTGCGTAACACCGGATCACTGCCGGCGACGCCATTTTTTCTCTCTCTTCTCGCTTTCAGTGAAGCTAAAGCTAACAACAACACAAGCAAATACAGTAAAGAATTGAATTTTCAACTCCTTTTTTTTCTTCTTTTTTCTGTAGTTGGTTTTAATGCAGTTTTGTTTTGATTGATTTAGGATTGGGCCGTTTAGTAAAACTGGGCCGGATTTGGTTAAACTACTTGGGATATTGTTTATGGACTTACTTGGTGTTTAACCATAGGATTGTGGACTTTGAGGTGTTCTACTTCTCTGACATTGGTTTTTGGATTTTGCGAAAAAACTGTCATTTAAGGATCTATTTTGATTGACTGAATTGAGATGAACTGAACTGTATTTATTGGAGCTGAAATGAACAGAAATGAACAGAATCTGAAGAAAACAGGCTCTAAATGACGATTTTGGAGAGCAACTATCATATAAAACTTTTTTTTTAAAAAAAAAACTACCACAAAAACATAAAAAGTTTGAGTAGCACTACCTTATCAAGTTTTCTAGCTAGAATCTCTAGCTGTTGGCTCACCAATTAGTATTTCTCTATCTTCTATTTATAATTGTTAATCTTCATTTTCCTCTTTTTGCTTCTATTAAAAAAATTAAAACCCTAATCTATTCATGGTTGAAGTCAATTAATTGCCATAAATACCTAAAAAATAATGTGTAATGAACCCTGCATTAGATAATATAGAACAATTGCCTCAAATCCCCCTATTTCAAAAACCCTCAATTTCAATTTTTTTTACCATTAACCCTAATTTGAAGATTCAATTGAAAAATTGTGTCAATTACAAAGCAAATTAGATATATATTATATCTTCAATTGTGTTTTCCAAACAATTTTGCTTCTTCTCTCGCCCTGAATTGATTGAAATGAATAGATTAGGGGCCCACAGCCGGAGATTCTAGTCGAAAAACTTGATAAGGTAGTGCTACTCAAACATTTTATGTGTTTTGTGGTAGTTTTTTAAAAAAATAAAAAAAAAGTTTTAAATGATAGTTGTTCTCAAAACTCGTCATTTATATGGTAGTTCTTCTCAAAATTTCCTTGGGTTTTTTTCGATGAGAAAATTAACCCTATTTAATCGACATGGTGACGTCTGAAGTGTCTGGTTTCATAATTTGTAAATTGGAACGAGGTATATTTAGGTGAAACTCATACACTTCAAAACCATAAAGTATATGGTTTAGACTTTAGATACTCAAGATGGAGGGTACGATTCATATCATATACTTCCTCCGTTTTCTTTTACTTGCAACACTTCCCTAAAAAGGAAATGTCACAATACTTGCAACACACTATAAAAGGAAAGTTACTTTAGGGAAAAACTATACTCCGTACTATTTCCCTTATTTAAAGCACATGACCCACTAAATTACACTCCTAAGTCCTAACAACCACTCATCCCATTTTAAAGTGTATTATATCATGTGAACCCCACATTTCTTAAATACCGTGAAAAAGTGTGTGTTGCATCTAAAAGAAAACGGAAGAAGTATACAGGTATCAAATAAATGTTGCACCACCCTTTTTTTTTCTTCTTAATTCTAAGCTCATACTACTTAACAAACGAAAGCCTCTTAATAAAAGGTACTAAGGAAATTCTCATTCTTAAACACACGTAGTGAGGCGTGATAAAATTGAAAGAGTTAGTGAAAACTGAAAAGTGAATGCTTCTTCTTTTTTTTAAAGCAAAAGGTGAATGCTTTTACTTATTCACTTCACATAATGTGAAATATATTTAATTTTTATAAATAACTAAAGTACATACGGAGTATATCGCAATCGTTTAATCAATCATAATAATCATGTTGCTCACAATACATTGTACATAGAAAATATTGAAATAAGAGTGTGGGACAACTCTACAACGAAGGCTTGTGCCAAATTAATGCATAATTGATTGAGTAATATTTGGCCACCGTCCAATTACTAGGAGGGCAGACCAATAATCCCAATCATATGAGTATATGACCTATCAAGAGAGTCTTTTATAGTATAAGAAGCATCTTTATTGCAATGGGGACCAGGATTAGAAAGTGGTAGTGATGCTCATATATGCCAAGCATAAAAAGCAACCGTCAAAACGCATAGCTGCTATACACTTTTGATAATAGATTTATATATTATCTTGTTAATATTTTGTAAATGATATCTTGTGTAATTCTATCACCATGTCGCAAAGATGGACAATTGCAAACCGATTGTTACTCATGTCGACACTAAGTCGAAGCTTAGTGCTCATGATGGTGAGCCAATGCAGGATCCCTCTCTGATCTACAGGAGTCTAGCAGGTGCCCTTCAGTACCTCACTTTCACCGAACCTGACATTGTTTATGTCGTTCAGCAGGTTTGTTTATTCATGCATGCTCCTAGGGAACCTCATTTTAATGCTCTTAATCGTATTATCAGATATATCAAAGGCACTTTTGATCATGGCCTACATTTGTACCGTCCTACACCTACGAGCCTTACTTCCTTCACAGATGTCGATTGGGTCGGCTGCCCGGACATTCGGCGCTCCACTTCGGGGTATTGTGTTTATTTGGGTGATAATCTGGTCTCATGGTCCGCAAAACGACAGGCTACATTGTCCAAATCAAGTGCCGAATCAGAATATAGAGGTGTCGCTAATGTTATTTCTGAACTATGTTGGCTCCGGAATCTTCTTCTCGAGTTACATTGCCCTATTCGACGGGCATCCTTGGTTTATTGTGATACTACTTCTGCCGTATACTTATCTTGCAACCCGGTACAACACCACCGTACCAAGCATATTGAGATAGACATTCATTTTGTCCGCGACAAGGTTGCTCTCGATGAAATTAAGGTCTTACATGTTCCTTCGCCATCCCAGTACGCAGATATTTTCACCAAAGGATTACCTCGCCAACTATTCTTAGATTTCAAAGACAGTCTCAGCGTCCGTCCTCCTACCGCTTCGACTGCGGGGGTGTGTTAGATAATAGATTTATATATTATCTTGTTAATATTCTGTAATTGATATCTTGTGTAATTAGGGATCTCATTATTAGGTTGCACATACCTATATATATTGATTAATGAGAATACTCCAACTAAAGAGAATTACACACTTCTACAACTTTAAATTTTACTCTATTATGAGATTTTCTAAACCAAACAAGGTTATTGATGGTGTTGATGAAAAACTCTCCTTATGAGTGGTGTGACCTTGAGGCTGATTGTTCTTGAAATGAGAATTGCTCGCATAATTACTGCAATTTAATACATACTCTCTCCGGCTTTTTATAATTGCAACACACACTTATGATTTGTTATCTTCAGCTTAATTTCAGTTAGTTCAATTTCTAATTTTTTTCTCTCATAAACAATATAGTTTAGCTCAGTTCAATTCATTAAATCATAACATGCTCTTAATCATGGTTTTTAAGAAAAGTATACCTTCTATATGTGATATAATACACTTAAAATAGGGTTAAGATCGAGGTTAGGAGTATAATCAAGTGGGTTGTGAGCTTTAAGTAAAAGTGATTGTAAAATTTTGACGATAAAAACCTTTCTTTTATAGTCTATTGCAACTATTATGACATTTCCATTTTAGGGAAGTGTTGCAAGTTTACAGAAATGGAGGAGCTGTATATTAATATATTTTTACATATATAACTTTTAAAAAATGACTAACCCATACGAGGGACTTGATTGGCCTTGATAATTAAGGGACATTTAGTACAAACATTGGAAATGGAATGGAAAGAAAAATAGGGGGGGGGGATGAACTTATGTAAGTAACTCTCATTTGTTTAATTTCGTTTAATCATGGTAATGAATCACTAAGCTTAACTCTCTTTCTTTTTGTTTGAGGAGGATAAGGGAAATTGTTATCTTATTATGTTTTAGAAATGTAATAAATAGATTGAAACCATTACCCTTACCTTTAATTGTTACCCAACCTTACAACCAAACACTAACCATAAATAAGTAATGATATAGGATATGTTTTCAACCAAATCCACACCCTTACCAAGCATGCTATATTAGTGTTTTGTGATGAGTTGATTCAAAGAGTTGATACCATGAGATAAAATGATCTATTTTGACTAATATTAGTCGATGACCACTATTAAACGCTAGATAAGATGATCTAATTTGACTAATATTAGTCGACGACCACTATTAAACACTAATTAGAGTGTTTGGTGAATCGGTGATACAAAGAATAAATTCCATTAAATAAGCTCAGTTTCAAGAAGTTGTTTAAAAGAGTTTTTCACTAGCTTATTAAAATATTTTAAGGTGAAATGACAAATATACACTCATTTAACCAAAAATTCCATCACAATAAAATTTATCAATATTTGCAAACTCAAACTATTATATGAAATATTATCTGTTATACCATATGCTGATACAATTAATTAATACAATCAATTAGTTTAAATCAACTAAGGGATCGGAGTGTTCTTTTCACTTAGTTTTTATTACTTATCTGTTCTTATCTAAACTTATTAAAGGCTTTATTAAAACTTAAATTAGTTGTAATGTTAATAATTTGGACAACTTTATCAAAACTTATTTTTCTAAAATTGAACTTAATTTAGCTTATTAGACGTAAAATAAGTGAAAATAAGGTGAATAAAACAGATTTCAACATGAACAATTTCAATTTTTCAAGTTTTTACCAAACACGATCAATAACTTGACAATGTTAAGGCTATACACTATTCTTAATGAAAAGTAAAGGACGAATCTATTAAGTGGGCCTGGACGATGATTGAATAAAGAAAACAGATTATCAATGAAAGTGGTCACCTTTACCTTTACAAGACATGACCTCTTAAGGTAGTAATGACCCTTTTTCCTTTAATTTAATTCAATATTTTTCAATGCTTGCCTTTGCTTTGTTTTGTTCTCTCCCTAACTTAATTAGAGTTTGTCCCAATTTTGTTGGAGTTTTCCAATTTTTTGGAATTTTAATTTTCATCTATGGATGAAAATTTTACTTTTAGCTTGGGTTTTGAAAAAAAGGATAGGTGATTTGGATTCATATAGATTAAAGGTTTGTCATTAACTATACGATCAAAACATCATCGTAAATTGCAAAGGTCTATATTTGAAAAGATGCAAAGACATAAAAAATTATTGTTCATGTCAAGTTTGAAACAGTGGTGTATGAGATATGCCAAATATGCAAATTAGTTATGATTTTAATTGTAAAAGTTATGTTAAAATCTCTAAATGTGTGATTTACAAATCCTTATTATTATTGTAGATGTCTTATGACTATTTATTAATTATATTATTTCTTCTTGTAAACAAAAAAATGTTATTATTATTATTATTATTATTATTATTATTATTATTATTATTATTATTATTATTATTATTATTATTATCTTTCATAAAAAAAAAACAAGGCCATCAAAGTGATGAAAGAATAACACAATATTATTTACTTTGTAATAGATATGATTAGCAAATATTACACCCATTTCACTTACAATTCATTGAATCAAGTTTTTTTTTTTTTTTTTAAAAAAAAGTTTGGTTATTTATTGCTAATTACATACAAAACAAAAATCATCATGTGTAATCTTGTTAGATTTGTTTTAATTTTGTAATTCACCAAAACAAAAGGCATCGCGTGATATCCAAACATTAAAATTTTAGTAAAATTTTAAAATTTACGTTAGTATATAATTAAAGATATAATTGACCAAACATGTGTATTGGTGATCGCGCCAAAATGCAAGTAAGTAGAAGGGGGAAAAAGTGTAATAATTAAGATATTTTATTAATACTACGTATATTTTTTTTATTTCAACTAAAGGTTGCTATCTATTTAATTAGTTGATCTTAACTTTTATGATGAGTTAATAAATTTGAAAAGACAAATATTTGTTTAAATAATTTAAGACAATTTCATATCTTCAATTAAGTTCACATAGTAAAAATCGATCATCTAAATGGTTTTGAAAAAATAAAAAAGTAAAAATTATTTAAATGTAATACACTATTATCTAATTACAAATTAAACTTTATTTTTCAAGACATGTATAGATTAAACTTAGATGAACCTTTAAAGTCCTTATTTGTATCCCCCCCCCCCAAACCAATTTTACTTTAATTTACTACTTAATTAACTCGTTTTGGCCCATCCATACCTGATGCAAATTAATTCCACCTTGAAAAGAGGCGGATGAGATTTAAACCCGTGACTTCTGTGTCACGCTGGTTCTGATACCATGTAAGTGGACCAACTCAATAAAAAGATTAAGCTGATGATTGAGGACCGAAAATATGTTTTATAATCTATCAGGAAATTGTGTATCCTGATTGAAAATCTTACTTGATGCCTAATAACTCTTTAATTGGGACACAAAGGGATAATAAAACATGCATGGTAGATTCATTTTGCCACACTTTTTTCTCTTCATGGTAGAGCAAGTTTGTGCGGGTTCAAATTTTTCTTGTCCAATTAACCTGTTAGACCAATTTTGTAAATCTCCACAATCACTTGATACGAAGGTCAATTCTTCAACACTCCCCTTAACATATAGGAAAATTTGTTAGAAAAAACCTTTCAAAGTAACTTTTTTGTTCAGTCTAAACTTATAAAAATTTCTTGGCAATTTAAAACCTGATTGTAAATTTTTTTTGTTGAAGACAACCAAAAGGTCATTTTCCGGCATTGACTTCTTCTTTCCGGCATTGACTCCCATGTGACATGCACATCCTCATTTTTTTTACTAATTCCACCCCTTTTTCTTCTTTGTTCCCTCTAATTTACCTCTAATTCCCTCTTATTAAACCTTGTTTAATATTAACCACCAGTCCACCACCATCGCCTCCACCACCACCAACCAACCCCCCTTCTCCTGTCAGCAGCCCCTCATCCCCTATTCCACATGCCGTCCAAAACTCCTCACCCTCCACTGCCGACTGACCTCCCACCGCGACTACCCAGACAAACCCTAACCCCCGACAACCCTCTTGCCTCCCTTCTCCCACCACGAATTTCAGAAGGGGAAAGGGGTTCGAGTTGAGAGAAGTTCAAAATAGTACCATTTGAAGAATCAAGGTCTTTGATTTCCCAAATTCTTTGGTTGAATTCGATGTTGAAGACATCTTTAATGGTATGATTATTGCCTTTCACGAATCTCCCAATTCGAACTTTAGAGTTGAGCAATAGGGTCGGTCGCCAGTGGACGCGGCTCGCTAGGGGCGGGGAGATCTGACGGCCGGTGGGATGGGGGAGCGGGCTACTGGCAGAAGAGGGGTAGGGTGGTTGGATGGTGGTAGAGGTGGTTGTGGTTTTTTTTCTTCTTTTATTTATTAATAAATTAATTTATATGTTAAGTGAGTTAAATTAGAGGGAAATTAAAAGGTAATTAGAAGAAATGGGGTGGGAATAAGAAAAATAGACATGTGCAGGGCACATGAGGGAGTCAATGCCGGAAATAGTCTAGTCAACGCCGGAAAGTAATCTTTGGTTGTTTTCAACAAAAAAAAATTTACAATCAGGTTTCAAATTGCCAAGTAATTTTTATAAGGTTTTTCTGAACAAAAAAGTTGCTTTAAAAGGTTTTTGCTGACAAATTAGATCCCTTTTTAACCTTGTCTCATTTGATTTTTTTCAAGCTAGAATGCTTCTTCACTACTTCATATACGAAGTATTATTTATATTCCCTGATCATCCATTGCCCATCGCCCAACCCATCCCTGGAAGGTACCAGTAGTATTCGTACTAGATAGAGTAAGTCGGTACGAATCAGAATTGGTCTTACTCATGCTATACCGCGGGCGGAGAATGCCACTATATACTTACTAGGTCGAGTGGTGGCACTGCAAAGGGATAACTAGTAATAATTCACAAAAAGGCCCATGACATAGGCAACAATTTTCCTCAGAAATTGTAGTAGTGTCGCACTCGTACATTGTACATAAATTCATTTCAGAAATCAAAATTTCACTCAGCTGCCC